GTTCCTTTAGTCGAGACTCAAGGTCTAGTCAAGGATTCTCCGCATTGTGAATGAAAGTGAAACAAGTTAGAAATCATCAATCGTTAATCTGGCTAGTGGCTAGGGGAATCATACCTAAGTGAGTTCCCAACCTGTAATTAGATTAACTTTAACTGTAGTTTGCTAGAGTAGTTTTAGTTCTTCATCTTAATCTGGGTTGCTAAATAATAAACTGAAGCTGAGTAATAGTAACTCTAGAGACCCGTGGATTCGATATTTATCACTTGAGCCACTATACTGCAGTCCCTTTCATTGGTTACACTTGGCCTTTGTTAGGAGTTGTGTCATAGCGAGTCAGGTACAGAATTCAATAAATCACTTTGTGATCTTGGAGCAGGAGTAAATTTGATGCCATACTCAGTCTACAAGAAATTGGGATTAGGAGATGTTCATAAGCCTACTCGGATTGTTACACCCCGATCTTTCTAAGGGTCAAAATGACTATTTTACCCTTGGTTAAATTCATCAAGTTTCATCGTGATATCGAGGAAGACTAAAAATGCGAACTCTCGATTCAAACGGTGTCGCGTTTCGATATAAATCGAATAAGTTACGGACGTTAGTTGAGTTACGGATTAAACTCACCCGTAATTTGTGAAATTCACCGAGTTAGATAAAATCCAACCCTAATCCCATGCTCCACTCAAGCTAATTAAAACCTAAAACCCTAAGCAGCCTTTTAATCTTCTCCACCAAACAGTTTTCCGGACCGGGGATGATAAGCGACGCATCTCTCCCTACCATGGGAGGCGTGTGCTTAACCAAGGTGGAGGGCAATTATCCAGGACAAAGCAAAGCGGCACCATCGAGAGCTGCTCGTCCGAGGCGGTGGGATATTGGGGAAATCAAACACGCGGTATCGTCCAACGAGCGTTCGTCGTCCGAGCGGGATCTGTTCGTCCGAGAGCAAGGCCTCCGTTGGTGCATCAATCTCGTCCAAGGGGGATCTGCCTGCAAAGCGACCCTCTCTACCATGAGAGCTACTTGCTTAAGCAAGTTCGTCCCACCTGTCATGGGTATTGCGCCACAGCAAGCACGAGGTCACTTGCGTTTGGGAAGGCAAAAGCGGAAGCAACCATGAGGTGGCATGCTATCGGGAGGCCAACGCAGGAGCCATGAGGTGGCTTCCTCTCGTGAGGACAACGCAAAAGCAGAGCTGTTTGCGGTGGGGAATCAGCCAAAGCGGCTTAAGCAGGAGACCACGTAGGACCAACATTAAAAATACTCTCTCTACTACGAGAGGTGTTAGCTTAAGCAAGCATGACCAATATCAACGAGAGCCGCTATGCAAGCGAGTAGGACCATTATGCAAGCAAGCAGGAGATCGAAAGGAGGCGGCCATGATTAAGCAGGCAGGAGGAGGGCATTATTAGGGAAAAAGCACATAATCAAGCTAGTTCCAACGGAAGTGAGGTGAGTGTAAAGGGGGTAAATTCTACGCCTTACGTACTCTTTTAAGTTTGACGAGCCTTAAGTATTTGTTGAAGTGATTGTTATTGCTTGATTGTGCTTATGGTTGATTATATGTGATTTTGTTTGAGCCATGTTTGATGTGATTGTCCATGAGTTTTATTTCAATTTAAGCTTTGAGTATATAAGTTATTGTTGAAGTTAAGAAGCAAGCCCCTTTTAAGAAGTAACTCACTTTCAAGAAGGTGAAGTCGTTTTAAGTGTTTTTAGTCACTAGCGCCAGTCCGTTGCCATTTGAGATTTCCAGATAGAGCAGCAGTTATGCTCTTGAGATCTTTGAGACAGAGCCGCAGTTATGCTCTTGAGACTTTTAAGATGGGCAGCAGTTATGCCCTTGTGAATCATGGTGAAGAGCCACCACGATAAGTTTAAGATGTTAGGGGGATGAATCGTTACGACTTCCCTAACTAAGTTTAAGTTTAAGGAAAGCCTTGATGGCTTCTCATACGTATGAGTTGGCAACCGGACTAGCTAGTGAGGGATCCCCGTGTCAGTCAAGTATTTAAGTCGAGATTTGAGCTTTAAGAATTCAGTTTTAAGAGTTAAGCTTTTTAATAGTGGAAGCACAAAACAACTTCCACTCAGTTAAGTAAAGTGATCAAGTAGTAATAAGATGTTAAACGTAAGGGCGTAGACTGACCCCATCTCACTCACCAGTTTGAGGAGCTAGAGGAGCAGTTAGTGAGCAGCAAGTTCGAGGGCAGCCAGCTAGAGGAGAGCAGTATAAGTGTCACGGAGGATGCTTAGTCAAAGATTTCAGTAGCAACAACTTCAGAGATTATTAGTTATATACATTTATGATTATGAGTACAGACTGGAGATTATTTTGAGATCAGTTTGAGATTTTAAAGTTTGAGTTTAATTTGCCCATGTGTTAGGGCTTTGCTCTGAGCTATAAGTGTGTGTTTTCAGTATTTTATTTATTAAAATTGTTCCCAGTCGCTATTTAAGATTTGAGTATTTTAGTTATCAAGGGCATTTTAGTAAAAGTAGTACCCGGCCGGGTTAGGGTGTTACATTTTGGTATCAGAGCCTGGTTTTCCTCTGTTCCTTGGTCTCCAAGGAATACTGGAATATCGGTCTCAGTTTTCAAGGTTTTTGTTTTTTAAAGGAAAGAAAAAAAATGAGTCAAGGATCTTCTTTTAAGAGTTTATAGAATCTCCAGTCTACTCTAATCATAATAAGGTGAATAACTATTACAACACGACACTACGAGAAGGTAGCGCAATGGTGCAATTGATTTAAGAATAAGCTAGGACGCGAGTTAAGTTATCACGTCGTGGGACGTCAAATAAAAGACTGAGGCGTACGACGATCATGAGTGTGAAAGGAAAGAAAAAATAATGTGGCCAACTCTTTTAGAATCTCAAGATACAAGGAAAAGGAAGGAGGAACGTTGCAAAGGTCTATGGAGGTAGGATCAAATGTGCGAGGACTTCAACTCCAAGCACCAGCAAAGAGGTACCAATTGAAAGGGAATACCTCAAGGATTTTGAAGGAGTTGAGAGAGTAGTACGAGGATTTACTACTAGGAAACAATGGATGATCTAATAAGCTAAGACAAACACAGGGGAGAAATATGAATCTCCAAAGGAAGAGGAACAATCTCCAGACGCCAGTAGCTATGATAATAGGATGATGTTAGGGTCTTTGGTCCTAAGCAGTGGAAAGTGGTAAACGGGTCAAGAAACGAAGAGGTACCCCGAGAAGCCCCTCATCTAGTTTTTGTGTTCGATGGCTCAACGCTGTTACATCATAGTGACAAGGAGCAGAGAAAAGCTTAGACTTCAAGAAAAGCTAGGGTAGTGTAAATGGAGTAAAGGAGGAAGTAAGTAGGTTATAGGAGGTCTGAAAGGACGTCAAGAAGTCAAAAGGTCAAGGCGGAGAGGAGGTATGGTCGTTTGCATATAACGATAAAGGAACCCTTATAGTTAAACTACGTCACTAGAGGAGAGGGTACACGACCCTGGGGGTTAGGCCGATGAAAAGCCGTTAGAAGGAACAAGGCAAGCAACGAGATAAATGATGTAGAGGTTGAGGTTAGATCAGGCATGCTATAAACCTGTCAAGCGCAAGCTAGAGGACAAGGTATGAGAAGGGGTTGAGAGACCCTCCAAATTACCATGATCAAGGAGAATCAGAAAAATCGTGGAATTTCAAGGAATCCATTGGGAAAGTCTAAAGTGGGAACTAGAGGGCCAAGAGCGGGAGTCTCGGACCAGCCGTAGGAGTAAATCATTCAATCAACCGGATATAGGCAAGCAAGTACAGCGTTCATTAGAAGTTCTAATGAAAGTTGGGGAATTCGAGGAGGAGTCTAAACGGTCGTAAAGAAGAGAGTTTGCGAGCAATACCAAGGAAGAGCAAAAAGGCCAGAGGGATTTTGACGAGATTTCAAGAAGTCAATGGGTCAAGTCTCAGGTGACTCGAGGTCAAGAAGAGGCATAAAGAGGTACGATGAGGAAAATCATTGCCAAGAAGGAGGAAATCATTAAGTTACCTTACCCAAGGTGCCCCACTCTGAGGGAGTACGATATAGTAGGATGTCATCCATAAAAGAAGGTCAGTTAAGGATAAATTAGTGATATTTAGTTAAGCCACTAAGAGCCATGACTAAGAGATTAAGGCTATGTACAAGCATCGGTTGAGACAAATGACGTGAATGAGGTATGTTAAGACCTACCCAAGGAAATCCTCTATTGGAAGCTTTAACCCTAACAATAACGAGAAGATACTCAACGGAGCTTGGTGACCGAAAAATAGTACAAAGCAGCAACGGAAGAGTAGTAAAAGTAAAGAAGCAAGGAGAACACCATAGGACGCTATAGGAAATAAAAAAAAAAGTAAATAAAAAAAAAGAGTGGTTGTCGACCGGACAATGAATGCGTGAAAGAAGATAGTTGGGATGTGGTCGAACACCATCATGAGTAGAAGTCGTGGGTGTCATCTGTCAAGTCTACCTAGAGAAAGTTTCGAGTGGAAATGTTGGCTCTGAGGTATGGCGAGGAGCTACTAAACTGAGTAGATCAAAGCTAGTACCAAGCATCGATGAAGGAGTTGTAGAAGTAAGGAGGAAACCACAAGCTATACTGAAAGTTATGGTGAAAAGGGTGGTAGTTGATAAAACGTCAAATTCAAGGAGAAAGATAGTTAGGAAGAGCCGGCGAAAGAATACGAAGGTCAACAAGGAGGCGTTAAGGTAATGGCCAGTGGAGAATAAGTTGGACCATAGGAAGCCCAGCAAAAACGGAGAAGCTCAATGGTCAACTTTAAAGTAGAAGTGTGGTGGTCCAGAACGGTCGAAGGGAAAACCTTATCGGTCAAGGTACATAAGTGATAAGAGAATATGGACACCTAGAGGACTATGTCGCGAACAAGGGACATCTAAACCGAGAAAGGAACATCAAGGAGAAGAGTCACGAGTAACGAAGTAAGAGGGCTACAAGTTTAGCGAACCTTATAGAATACCACAAAGTGAAACCCAAAATCGCCTATGCTGGTGAAATGTGTTAATCTCTCAGGTAAAACTCTATCGGACGGGGGAAACTGTATAAGGAATTTCAGCTGGGGCTAAGAGTAGCATAATGGATAATAAGAGAACTTCAAATTCAGGTGGCGATAAGGAGGTGCTAAGTTAGGCGCTAGGAGTGAACATGTAAGCCAAAGGGAAGTTCATGACTCTTGAAGGGAGTCATATGGTTGTTAGCAAGCTAGAGAAAGATGCAAAGGATGCCTTTAATGCATACAAGAAGTAAAAGCAGTAGTATGAGATTTCAGAGTTAAGCAAGAAGTAACGAGGAGATGACCACTCAATTTATGGTTAAAGGATAAGACAAGGCATCAAGGAAGAAATTAAGAGATACAAGGACCTAGGTGACCCATGAGGTCAATCCGGACGAGAGTTACGTTAAAGGAGTTTTACCATCTGACTAGATGGAGGACAAGCCGCCATATGTAACCCTAAGGTTAAAGGGGGTATTAAGAACATCAATAGGGACGTGTAAAGGATTCTTTCATGCTAAAGGCACCAGATATGGTGAATCAGGCATCAAGTGTGTGTATCAAGTGGAGTTATCAAAGAGGAGCATAATGAGCCCTAAAAAGGGAGAAGAAGTGATACCTAGGAACCAGCATCGGAGTTAATCATTAAGTAGGTCAAACATTCTACACCAAGGAGAGTTGTCAGCAGTCAAGATAGGGTGGACAAAGTTCAAGGTCTGGGCCTGGTATGACCTGAATAGCTGGCTAATAATTTACTTCCTTAAGCTCTTAAGGAATCCTACATAGAGACCCAAGACAAATCGTTGAGAACAACAAGAGCTATGAATGCCATTACACCATCAGAGGCATTTAAGAAGGGAGAGTGCCTTAGTGCCATAGACTCATTAAGCAAGTAACTAGCTTGAGCAAGAGATTTATGAAAAATGGGGGAGCAATTAGTTGGCGAAGAACCACACGAATTGGAGGAAGGGGTTTATAGCTCCAGGTTGTATAAAGTAAAGGAAGTATAAGTCCTTGCAGCAGAAGGATTACCTCAAGTGAGACTTTAGGTTATCAACAAGGAACAAATTTCGAGGTCGAAATTTTCTTAAGGAGGGAGGAAACATGATACCTCGACTTCGGTAGGTTCAACATCAAGTACTGGACCCAAGTTGGAAAATTTTGAAAAGGGCAAGTAGCCACTCAAAGCTACTCGATGCTAATGAGCTTGTTGGGAATACCCTTTATGGTCAAGAAGAAATAACTTGAGGTGAGGTAAACTATACGGGACAAGCAACGGACATCATCAAGGTTCATATAGAGAGAATAAATTTTGGGGCAAGGAAGTACAAGAATGGTGTTGACAGAGGAATGAGATTCAAGCAAATTTCGGGGACGAAATTTTTATAAGGGTGGAGGAAATGTTACACCCCGATCTTTCTAAGGGTCAAAATGACTATTTTACCCTTGGTTAAATTCATCAAGTTTCATCGTGATATCGAGGAAGACTAAAAATGCGAACTCTCGATTCAAACGGTGTCGCGTTTCGATATAAATCGAATAAGTTACGGACGTTAGTTGAGTTACGGATTAAACTCACCCGTAATTTGTGAAATTCACCGAGTTAGATAAAATCCAACCCTAATCCCATGCTCCACTCAAGCTAATTAAAACCTAAAACCCTAAGCAGCCTTTTAATCTTCTCCACCAAACAGTTTTCCGGACCGGGGATGATAAGCGACGCATCTCTCCCTACCATGGGAGGCGTGTGCTTAACCAAGGTGGAGGGCAATTATCCAGGACAAAGCAAAGCGGCACCATCGAGAGCTGCTCGTCCGAGGCGGTGGGATATTGGGGAAATCAAACACGCGGTATCGTCCAACGAGCGTTCGTCGTCCGAGCGGGATCTGTTCGTCCGAGAGCAAGGCCTCCGTTGGTGCATCAATCTCGTCCAAGGGGGATCTGCCTGCAAAGCGACCCTCTCTACCATGAGAGCTACTTGCTTAAGCAAGTTCGTCCCACCTGTCATGGGTATTGCGCCACAGCAAGCACGAGGTCACTTGCGTTTGGGAAGGCAAAAGCGGAAGCAACCATGAGGTGGCATGCTATCGGGAGGCCAACGCAGGAGCCATGAGGTGGCTTCCTCTCGTGAGGACAACGCAAAAGCAGAGCTGTTTGCGGTGGGGAATCAGCCAAAGCGGCTTAAGCAGGAGACCACGTAGGACCAACATTAAAAATACTCTCTCTACTACGAGAGGTGTTAGCTTAAGCAAGCATGACCAATATCAACGAGAGCCGCTATGCAAGCGAGTAGGACCATTATGCAAGCAAGCAGGAGATCGAAAGGAGGCGGCCATGATTAAGCAGGCAGGAGGAGGGCATTATTAGGGAAAAAGCACATAATCAAGCCAGTTCCAACGGAAGTGAGGTGAGTGTAAAGGGGGTAAATTCTACGCCTTACGTACTCTTTTAAGTTTGACGAGCCTTAAGTATTTGTTGAAGTGATTGTTATTGCTTGATTGTGCTTATGGTTGATTATATGTGATTTTGTTTGAGCCATGTTTGATGTGATTGTCCATGAGTTTTATTTCAATTTAAGCTTTGAGTATATAAGTTATTGTTGAAGTTAAGAAGCAAGCCCCTTTTAAGAAGTAACTCACTTTCAAGAAGGTGAAGTCGTTTTAAGTGTTTTTAGTCACTAGCGCCAGTCCGTTGCCATTTGAGATTTCCAGATAGAGCAGCAGTTATGCTCTTGAGATCTTTGAGACAGAGCCGCAGTTATGCTCTTGAGACTTTTAAGATGGGCAGCAGTTATGCCCTTGTGAATCATGGTGAAGAGCCACCACGATAAGTTTAAGATGTTAGGGGGATGAATCGTTACGACTTCCCTAACTAAGTTTAAGTTTAAGGAAAGCCTTGATGGCTTCTCATACGTATGAGTTGGCAACCGGACTAGCTAGTGAGGGATCCCCGTGTCAGTCAAGTATTTAAGTCGAGATTTGAGCTTTAAGAATTCAGTTTTAAGAGTTAAGCTTTTTAATAGTGGAAGCACAAAACAACTTCCACTCAGTTAAGTAAAGTGATCAAGTAGTAATAAGATGTTAAACGTAAGGGCGTAGACTGACCCCATCTCACTCACCAGTTTGAGGAGCTAGAGGAGCAGTTAGTGAGCAGCAAGTTCGAGGGCAGCCAGCTAGAGGAGAGCAGTATAAGTGTCACGGAGGATGCTTAGTCAAAGATTTCAGTAGCAACAACTTCAGAGATTATTAGTTATATACATTTATGATTATGAGTACAGACTGGAGATTATTTTGAGATCAGTTTGAGATTTTAAAGTTTGAGTTTAATTTGCCCATGTGTTAGGGCTTTGCTCTGAGCTATAAGTGTGTGTTTTCAGTATTTTATTTATTAAAATTGTTCCCAGTCGCTATTTAAGATTTGAGTATTTTAGTTATCAAGGGCATTTTAGTAAAAGTAGTACCCGGCCGGGTTAGGGTGTTACACGGATCACTCTCCAATTGGCTGATCGATCAGTAAAAATTCCAAAAGGAGTGGTGGAGAATGTATTGGTGAAGGTGGGGAAGTTTATTCTCCCAACAGATTTTGTAATTCTGGAGATGGAAGATGATCAGGGAGTGCCTCTAATTCTCGACAGAACTTTTCTAGCACCGGTAATGCACTCATCGATGTTGGGAGAGGCAAGTTAACATTCCGAGTAGGTAAGGAGGAGGAAATTTTTAATGTCTTTCAAGTTGATCATAATCACGATGCAATTGATGACCTTGAAAGTGGAGCTCGAGAAAGGAAAAATTCCTCTTCTTGTGATAGTGGACCACCCAAAGAACTATCACATGTCCTAGCAGCTCAAAGTCTGAAATCAAAGCAGGGGCAGAAATCATTGCCAGGGCACCTCAAGTATAGATATTTGGGTAAGGATTTCAATCTTCCTATTATTATTCCTTCTTCAATGACATTGAAACAGGAAGAGTACTTGCTTGAGGCACTGCAATACCACCTACGCCTCACTAAAGGGTCCAACATGGCAGCTAAAAAAGTCATACCGAATTTTCGCACACCTGGCCCTGCTGAGGTGACTCATATGTTAGATGGAGGCTATGTGTTCTATCATATCTCGGGATGGTATTCTGGATACCTTTCCATACCCATTGGTTACAGGTCCATGAACGTCAGGCTGAGGACGTTAAACAAGCGCTTCTTGGGAGGCAACCCAAGGTAAGTTTTCTTTTCTTTATTTTTCTTTTTAGTTGTGTCAAACCCGTGTATGTTTAGATTAGGAGTTGAACATTAGGGACAATGTTCCATCCTGAGTGTGGGGTGGTGAGTCTTAGTGTTTGTTTGTTCCTTTTGTCATGTGGTCGATAAAAAAAAATCCAAAAAAAAAATTGCCATTAGGTTGAGCACAGCCAAACTGCATGCAGTTTGCCTGTGTAAAAGCAGGCTGCCTGTGCAAAGCTAATGGCTAAAAAACACCTAAAAATCAGAAAAATCAAAATCAAAACCTTGTACTCTTGTGGTAACATGATGTAAATGACCGTGATGCTTTGAAAATGAGTTTGTGCTTGAAGGAAATCATCAAAATCACCCCACTAGTGTTGAATTGCAAAGTTCTTCACAATGAGCTTAAATGTTTTGACTGACTTGATATGCTTGGAATGAGCTACTCTTTTAGCAACATTCTCTTTTGTGAGGATAGTGTAATGACTTTTGGTGAAGTAGTTAGGTGGAGAACATTGACCATTCGACATGTTTGGATACCGTGCTTACTTGCATCTATTTTGAGTTGTTGACTTTGCAATGAGTCTCTCTGTTTTGATGGTTTTATGATGGGGTGAACTGTATCTTTATAAAAAAAACACTACCTGACAAGTAAAATATAAGAAAGTTGCCGTAACAATTAAAGTGTGGGTAAAAATGCCAAAATCGTGTGAGGCAATCACTCATTGCACATGGGGATGAGGAAAGATTCAATTGAGAATCGGTTCGCGACCTTACGATGTTGCTTATCAAGTACGATCCCCAGTAGAGTGAAGTGCCATTAGAGGATATGCAATGACCCTCCACACGGACCGAGGAAAAGGAGTTAAAAGAAGCCCTTATGCGAGTGCTAAGAAGCAGAAATTGCTCTTGCTCGGTCATCGGTAGTAAGAAACAAATCTCACTTGTACTAAATACGACCTCTCGGCAAGCAAAAGCAGAAAGAGATAAAGCCTCTCCTTGTCATAAAAGGTAGTGATGTGCTTAAAGTAAAATCATGTTTGCGAAAAGCTTCCCCCATTAGTTTTTGAGACTCATGCTTAATTAATTGCTTATGATTGGTGTGAGTAAGCCAGACTGTCCTCACGAGATATGCACCTCACTGATGTGGTTAGATTCTCCTAATAATTGTTGCACCAAAAGTTGTTAACCACCCACTACCGACGATCGAAATTGAGTGTTGCTATTTGAGTTTTTGATGGATTTGAGTCAGTCAATGGTAATGGTTGCAAAGAACTTGAGTGTGGGGTGAAAGGTATGACCATGAAAGCACAACTCGTCCGTTGAGAAAGAAACTACTGATTACAACAAGAGTACAAGGAAATTTTGTGTTTTGCTTTGAGTGTTGAGTCTGTAATGTGTCGTTGTTTTGGATGATTATGTGTTTGTGTTGTTTGAGTCGTTCCTTAGGGACAACATGGATTTGAGTCGTTTCAGGTTTATCCTCCTCACAGGCCTAGCATGTTCTCCAACTGAGGTTATGATAATCGGCTTTAACATATTGAATTCTTGGACTTTATGTGATTATCAGTGGTATGTTTAAGCCGATTGGTGCTATTTTAGGGCTCGCTAACCCGAGAATGGTTGAAAAACCATTACTACCTAGTGCCATGAGTTTGATGCATTACAGGTGAAGAGAACACTAAAAAGAAGGAAGAAGTGGGCCTGGAAGGAGCAGCTGGGCAGACTTATTTCTTTGAAAAAACTCTGTTGCGGTACAAAATTAAAAGGAATTGGGCTTGCACAAAGCTTGGGACAAGAAAATAGGCTGGCAACTAATTTGGGACGGAAATAAAGGCTTTGGGGGGAATTGGTGGGCCAAATTATTATTTGTCCAGGAAGTGGATTTGGGCGGCTGCAATTGGAAGGAAAAGGATTCTCTGGGCGGCCACAAATTCTGGGACGGAATTAATAAAGGATAAAAGAAAGGAAGGCTTGGACGGAATCTTAAGGAGAGAAGGAAAAAGGCAGCAGCCAATTTGGGAACGAGAGGGAAGCAGCATCGGGCCAGGGAATAAAAGAAAGATCCTCTAGGCGGCGGAATTAAGGAGAGAAGGGAGAAGAAAATCTCTTTGGGACGAAGATCTCTTGGGGAAAAAACGGAATAAAAGCAGCGCAACGGAGCAACTCTCATCGATCGGCAATTGGCGATCAGTTTTCCAGGCGACTTGAGCTGAGTTCAACGAGAGCGATTATTTGGTTGGAGTTTTTAAACCGAACTAGTTGTTTATTGTTGATTTAGAACATGATGATCGAAACCCTATCGTTTTATCTCAATTTCATCATGAACTAAACCCCGATTTCTGGGAGAAACACCATAGGATGTAGCTATTTTTAGAATTGAATGATTGATTCATATTTCTTTTCTTTCACTCTCTATTGCATGAAATTAATTAATGTTTTGTGTTGACTGGCCACCAATACAACGATTTGTAGTTAATTAGGTTATTAGCGACAGTGAAACCCTAATAACTGAACCTATTTCATGTGACATAGTAACTTATCGAAGCGACAGTGGATTAAATAAGGTACTATGCGGTCTTGATTGGGATATCGTTCTTCAGGCTAAATAGTTAATTCATTGAGCTACGACAGTAGGATTTGAATTAATTTTTTAGTACGTAGTAATTCTTGACAGGGATAGCTAGCACATTCGTGATATCCTGGCTGTAGAGAATTGGATTAAACTGATTGGAATATATGAATTAATTTTGATATGATAGGTAGTGAGTCCCGGTGTTTCTCCCAGAGCTTTCTCCCATTGATTTCAACCCGACAACTTTAATTTGCTTGTTTTGTTTAATTATTTTGCTATTAGATAATAGTTTCAGCAATTAAACCATTTTCACATATAGTTTGCTCTATAAAATTTATAGAACTTAAGGTTGTACCAGTCCCTGAGAGACGATACCCGGACTTTCCGGTTTACTACGAGATAGGATTAAGGCATACGCTTTTGCCCTATCAGGTTGCCGGCGGCATAATTCGACAGGTTAGAAATTAGAATACCCAAACTCGACAGCTCCCGTTGTTGACTCCCCAGGCTTTCAATCTTCAGCACTACAACATGTCAGGCTTCAAATTGTTTGTCCAGAGTTGCCGACGGCTAGGTTTGTCGGCCATTAGGATATCTTCGGCCTTTGCTTAATTAATCTTTGGCTGTGAATTGTCCCCTTTCTAGCTTCAATTCCCCACCAACGTAGAAGAGTTGAAAGCAGCAAGTGCAGCAACGAGGGGGCAATTACCTCTCTTGGCCCTCTTTTAGTTGGTGAAACTTTGATCATATTGCTCAATAAATGTTCACGTCCAATTGATTGGCCCCGGAACAGTTAATTGGATCATTATGTTCCTCTTACATATGCCAATTGATACATCAAGAGCGGAGGATATACACCCTATCCAATATTGAAGTTCATGATGTTGCAGTACACAAGAGAGTCGCTATTTCCACCCTACAAATTATGTTCAACCCAAATCCAAGGGTCGAGCCCTTGAGAGATGCAACTAACATTCCAATCAATGCAGTCAAAAGCGCGAATCTACCTAAGAGCGGAAAAGGGCTAAAATCGTAAAGCATAAAATCAAAACGTAAAAGCGTAAGTTTTTTACGCATACTGAAAAATAACTAAAAATCTATTAAGTAGGACATATACTATGTAAAATATGAATGCACAGAATTTAAATAAGTTAATAAATACATGCAACTCATGCCTAAAGTAGAGAAACTTATAGAATCTTAATAATAAGTTCATAAACATAAATTTTAACAATTAGCCACCATTTCCTCTATGTTAATGAATTCGGGAAGAGCCTAGCTGGTGAATTAGATTACTCTATTGAAGTTGAGAATGCATCCAAGTACCTGGTATGTATCTTTTAATCTCAAATGCATCATATTGTTGGTGATTTACTTTTAAATACACTTTGTATAATTAATTTCATGAAAAGAATACTCATTTAGTGAACTAAAAGCGTAAAAACGTAAAGCGTTTAGGTGAACTAGAAGCGCAAAAGCGTAAGCTTTAAAGCGCAATTTAGTCCGATTTTATACACTTAAGTTTTTATATGGAAACGAAAGCGTTTTGGTGACCTAAGAGCGTAAAATCGTAAGTTTTTAAGTTTTAAAACGCGATTTTGACTGCATTGATTCCAATAACTAGATTCAGATTCTTCAAACCTTCTCACTTCCAAATAGCCTATGAAAATTATCAATATTTGTCAGGTTCAATCACTTCACCATAATCTCTAATCATCATTCATGAGATCATATAATTTAGTAACTATGTTTTTTGGTATTCCTTTGGCTTAACGGGCCCTTTGTGAATTAAATGTTCACAACGAATTACTGTGTGTTTTGGTTTTCTCTGTTGACTCTTTAGACATGAATTTCTCTAATGTTAGCTTATGATTCATCATCAACGGTAGCTCTTTGTAGGGCAATAAATTCAATTTTTGGGATTAACGTATCTATAAAATAATGTGTGTATGCAATGCAACCTTATTTTTTAATTATAAATACATGTGTTACATTTTAAATCCCCTGATAAATCTAATTTTGAATATGATGGGGACAATTTTGATTTGAATGCTCCTTTGCTCCTTTGAATACGATTTTGTGGATTGAGATTGTTTGGATGCGATTCTTCATGATTATGGGTAGGGGTGGTATTCAGTCAGTAAACGGTAAACTGTTTACCGAATTTACCGGTTTTGGTATACCGACAGTGGCTAAATTGGAATCGATTACCGATACCGGTTTGTAACCGGTTTATCGATTACCGAATTACCGGTAAACGGTTACAAACCGGTATTACCGAAATACCGTGAGATGGTGAGATAGGAAGCAAGGTACAGAGAGCTCACTCTCCTACGGCAGAGGGAAGGTCTTGAAGCTTGTTGTTGCTAAGATTAAGCACAGTCAATTGGGTCAAATTTCTTAAGTCCTCTTTCAACAACTCAATCTCATTGTGAGCCAAGATCAGCTTTTGGAGCTCAACCGCCTGCAAACACAAAGAATCGGCCAAACCTTGGGCGTTACAGCTCGATGCAGCTCCGTGAAAACTAAAGCGGGTAATGGGAAGACGGAAATCACTATTACCTCCCACCATTTCTCGCCCTCGCCGAGAGCATCGGAAATTTTGTACACCTCGTTGGGGACATCCCTCGAATCGCAAATGCGAATTATAGTCATCGGAATGAAGCAGTACGAAGGGGTTTAAAAGCTTGGGAGGGACGGGAACTTGCCTGAGAGAGCGATTGGAGAGGATGAGAGAACCAGAGGCTCTCGCAGCTTTCAGAGCCCGATCCATTGTTACAGTCTCATGGATCTGTGGAACTCTAAATGAACTCAATCAAATGCAGGAGATAGCTTCTTCAATATTTAAATACTTCAGGAGTTGGGGACAGCCGACAACGGAACTTTATTGGGCTGGAGAGGTGGTTGCGTGGCGCAGGGGAGGGGGGAATTTCGGTATCGGTATTACCGACTTACCGTCGGTATTTACCGATACTGTGTCCGGTAAACCGAGTCGCCCAAGTTCCCGCTCGACCGCCGATACCGTCGGTAAATGGTTTATCGTTTACCGCCGGTTACTGGTTCGGTAAAATGGTAAACCGTTTACCTGCTTACCGTTTACCACCCCTACCTATGGGTTTGTCGATAAGTGGAGAGGATAAATCAAAGCTTGTGTGCAGACTGTCAGCTTCTCAATCCTTTTGAATGGTAGCCCAACTGAGAAATTTTATCCATCGAGAGGCATTCGACAAGGCGATCCGATCTCTCCTTTTTTGTTCATTCTCATGTTGAATGCACTTTCCTTCTTGATCGATAAGGCAGTTGATAGAGGCGAAATTCAAGGCATCAAGCTCAATCCAAACTGCCCGAGGATCTCTCATTGCTTATTTGCCGATGATACATTTATTTTTGGTAAAGCAAGCGTGAGGGAAATGGATCATATTCAGAGCATATCAAGGAAGTATGGAGGACTAACGGGTCAAGAGATCAATGCTGATAAGTCCTCTATTTTTTTTTCAGTAGGAACACCCCTAAAGCACTGAAAAACATTATCACAACAAAACTGGGGTTCCCTCCTTCTATTTGTCATGACAAGTACTTGGGTGTTCCCTTGGTTTGGGGGAGTTCAAAGAAAGAGACCTTCTTGTTCTTACTGGAAAGGATGGAGAAAAAAAGGGTAGTCATGGAAGAGCTTATTTTTATCTCCGGGAGGAAAATAAGTCCTTTTAAAAGCAGTGATTCAGACTATTCCGTATTTGATGAGTGTCTTTCTCCTGCCGCTCTCCCTCACGAACAAGCTGGATTCGATTTTAAAGAGATTCTTTTGATCAGGATCTATGAGAAAAAAGTCTATTCACTGGTGTGATGCAAGTGTTTTGGAGAAACCAAAAGAGTTAGGAGGGATCAGGTTCAAAAACTTCCACTTGTTCAACGTCGCATTCATTGGTAAGCAGGTTTGGAGGATGTTGTAAAATCCAAATGCTCTTTGGGCACGGCTGCTCAAAGGACTATATTTCTCCAATGAGGATTTTTTTCTCCGCATCTAAAGGAAGGAATGGATCCTGGATTTGGAGTGGCTTTTGTGACACTACAGATAAACTCAAGATGGGTTTAATGAAGAGTATCATGTCAGGTGATGAGACTTTGTTTTATTATGACCCTTGGATACCTTCTGCCCCCGCATTTTCCCTTGCTACTCTAGGTCTGAGTTAGCCGAAGGTGAGTGAATGGATTCATCATGATGAAAGAAAGTGGAAGTTTGGCATCCTGCGAGAGGTTGTTCCTAAAGGAATTGTACAAGACATCATACGAATTCCGATTGGACCTCAGGAGGCACCTGACAAGTGGGTTTGGAAGTTTACTCCTACAGGAGAGTATTCAGTGAAAACTGCGTATCGAGCTCTCATGGAATCAAGAGATCATGACCTGCAGAACACAACCACAGTCCATCCTCATCCTAATTGTGAGGACTGAAAATGGTTATGGTCGCTTTCCCTTACTCCAAAGTTGTGTTTCTTCATTTGGAAGATTGCTAAGAGAGCCCTTGCAACTAAAGCTCGCCTGTTTGATCGGATGTGTGCCCCCAACTCTGGTTGTTCCTTATGTTGTCACCATTTTGAGTCCACCCATCATTGTCTTTTTAAGTGCCCTCATGCTGCTGCAACATGGGAACTGATGGGCCTTTCTTCTATCATTCCACTAGAAGAGAGCCCTTTCTCATAGTGGTTCTTCATGCTTAAGGACAATCTCCCGGTGGAGGTAATTAAGAAAAGTGTCTGCTGTTTATGGAACATATGGATTGCTCGCAATGTGTTTGTGTTCGACGACAAGGTTATTTCCCCGACCTCTTCTGCAATGCTGGCTTATCGAGATTTCCATGCCATGGAGGAAGCTCGTAGTCTCCCCTCGGTTATGTCTGCTTCGAGATCAGCTGCAATGCATTCTCAGTCAAGGGGATCCCGCTCTCAACCTTCACCACCGCCAAGTCCTTTCCAGAAGATTGTACACTGTGATGGCTCTTTTTGTGCGGAATCACAGGAGGCGACTTATGGGATTATGATTGCTAATACCCATGGTCAAGTTGTGGACGGCAAGGCTGAGAAAGTCTTATGTTCCTATCCTATTCAAGCGGAAGCTTATGCAATTCTTAATGCAGTCATGTGTGCCTCTCAAGAAGCTTGCTCTACATGTATCAAGTCTGACTGTCAGACTCTGACACATGCCTTGAAGCTTGCTCCTGATCTTTGGTCGTGGCAATGTCGACCTATCTTGGCCCATATCATTTCTCTTCTCCATGCGGCTCTTTGGATCACTATAACGTTTGTCCCTCGACGTTACAATAGCTTGGCTGATTGGGTGGCGCGTAATGAACGGACGGGAACTCTCCCTGATGACTGGTTGATTATTGTTGATCTTATTTCTCCATTACTGTAAGATTGTAATTGGCTTCCTTTGATGGGTTCTTGAATAAAAGCAGTTTCATTGTCAAAAAAGAAAAAATTCAACCCGTAAGTAATTGTTCTTATGCCAAAGTATATATCCATGCTCATGAATACAACTACATTATAACATCGCTATATGTCATTGTGTATTATAGACTAAGGAAAATGAAAACCATTATTAAAGAGGACTTATATATGAAGTTGCTCAACAACGTGTAAACAATTGTTCAATTGACGACCTAACTTCATTTTGATTATCTCCTTCATCCATAGTAAGAGATTTGTAATTCTACATTTTTTGTATCGACCTATTTTCAATATAATTATATATTTATACTTCTTCATCATTTGATTTTATTTCATTTTGACTACTAAATATTTGCTCTAGGGAAATTACGAAATTGTTGCTGGTCATATATGTGATATGAGAGTCACTTGGGAATGCCCTCATACTCAATACATTGTCAACCTCACTATCAGTGACAACTTTGCGACATGCCTAATGTATTTCCAATCATACAACTTTAGATCCATTGACGCGTTGTGATCAAGAAGAATGTCTAAATAGCAAAACTCAACGGGCGTACGGTAGGCTAGGGTACGTCCGGGCCTACGCTAGCCTTTGCCATATATGTATGTATGTATTTATTATGGAAAACAAATCTAATATTCAACTGTATGTTCTACTTAACTATTGAAAGACAATTACTTATTCATTTCTTTATTTTCACTTAAAAATAAAAGTTAATTCTTACTTCTTACAACATATTTCTCATCTTTTTGTTATGCTCATATAGATTATATATAAAATTCAACCATTTGCATATCTAATTACAAAAACAAACGTCACATTATTTTTTTAGCATCTATCATATCCATTATTATAATCCACATTCACAAGCTAAATCCTACCGACCAACGGGTGGGCCCCTGTGCTAGTATATATGGCTTAGAAACTGTGCTCGAATTGTCAATCAAGATTCAAGAGCCTTTGTATTATGGATGAGAAGGAAGAGTTGGTTGTAGGGTTTTAGCTTGAGGGGATGCAACGTCTTCCACTCTTATGCAGAGTTTCTTTGATGTGCTACGTCCATGGAGGACGAGATGGTGGTTGTGTTCGTTTTGGACTTGAGACGGCAACAACGGTTCTGTGTCTTGGCTTTGTGGGGAGTCCTTTTGGTTTCATTGGGAGTAATTGTTTCATAGTGGCTCATTTGGTGGCCGTTTTGGCCCTGATCTTGTCACTCCGAATTCTTTCGGGGTTTGACTTTGTTTTTGGGCAAAATACACTTGTATAGCCAAAACTTTTGCGTTTTTGCCAATAATAGCCAAATTTGACGAAATACCACTTATAGCCACTTCCGTCCAATTCTTTAACGGTGTTAACTAACATGCTGAATGGACTAACAGAAAAACTGATGTGGCGGCTTAGGTGGAATTAACCAAAATAAAAAATAAAAAATTATTTATTTATTTTTTATCTACTCTCTCTTCTTTCCCCTTCCCTTCCCAGTACCCTCGGCCGCCGCTTCAGAGATGGAATCCCATCGACCTCTCCTCCTACCCCATCACCGCCACTAGTCATCACCACCAGATCGTTGTCGTTCCTCTCCACAGTGACAAAAGCTCCATATCGTCGAGGCCACCAGCAACCGCTCGCTGTCCCTAGCCATCGTTGGGCAGAAGAAAGGAGAAGAAGAAAGTCCAATCGCCGTCCACAACCGTCGTCGCTCCAGATCGAGCTTCCCCAGCAGATCTGCAAGAAATCAAGTAGCGGCGGGAAGCGACGCCATCTCCCCTCGCCGCAGTCGAAGATCTCGAGTCAAAATTAGGGGTTTCTAATAATCGATTTGTCGATTCTTGCCCAGCCGCTATGTCACTTCGTTGGGGAGGATTCAGATCACCGGAAAATTACCCAACATGATAACCCGGCCGACGATTTTCAATAGATCATCAAGGAGATGATTTGCTCCTCACCGTCGTGTTGTCGTCAAGCAATAGCAGAGGGCAAGGGCTCGGCCGATGATTGGTGTGGAAAATCGGCGATCTGATGGGATGAAGTTGGAGCGAAGGGCGGGCGGAAATCTGGGTTCGATCGAGATCTAGGATTTGGGAATAACCAGGGGCTGAACAAAACCACCAAATTTGGACAATTTTCAAAGCTGCCACCGGGAATTGACAGTTAGCAGAGGGGACTTGCTCGATGATGCAGAGGTCTAGGGTCTGGGAGATGAGCTCCTCGATTCGCTGACTCTCGACTTCCGCCACTAGTACTTGGCAGCGACGAGCATGTTCAGGGTCAGAGCCTGGGGCGATGTAAATGAGTGAAACGACTGGGTAATACAAGAGGTGGGTGTGGCGCGGAACGGCGGAGTCGGGGACGACTTTAATCAGCGGCGGCGGTTCAAAGGAGGCGACGGTGATGGGTTCTGAAACCCTAGATGCAATGGGGGAAGTGAAAAAAGGAGGGAGAACGAGGCCCGGGTCCCCGATAGGGTGCCATTTTTTTTTCTTTTTAGTTCATTTTATTTTTCTTAATGACGTGTCGTCTTACCTGTCACTAAAGTCTGAGGTGTAAACGAAGGAGAGGCTGAGAAGGCAGCCAAGTCAGCATTCCGTTTATTCCACTAACGGTGCCACTAACACCGTTAAAGAATGTAACGGAAATGGCTATATTTGTCATCAAACATTCAAAATTCTGGCTATATCTGGTATTTCGCCAAAAATGGCTATTATTGTCACAATCGTCAAAGTTTTGGCTATGCAAGTATATTTTGCCTTGTTTTTGTTTGCCTTGCAGACAGGTCCTTGTAACTCTGTAGATCTTTGTTCCTCTCTCTTTTTTTCAGAGAAGATCTAAGGGCAAAACAAAAAACAAAACAAAAATCTGTTCTTACAGAAACGCAGGATAGGTCAACTGAAACAAGACAAGGGGGTGGATTCACAAAATCAGACGACTTTCCATCAAAGTTCAAGCTTCACCACAAACTAGAAAACTAAAACAGTACACAAATTTCGAGAAAACACAGTACAGTAAGCCTGAGAGTCAGCAACTAAGAAGGATTAGGGGTTGGGGAACAACTAGAGTCTGCAGAAGAACTCAAGGCACACACACAGCCTTTCAGATCAATTAAAAGCTACACGAAACATAAACTTCAATGATCAAGCCGAAATCCAAAGCTTTTCAGTTTTCAGGAACAATGTGTCCCGTCCCAGGCCTCTACGGGTCGAGCTCGGCATAAGGAGTCTCCACCTGGGCTTGTTCAGCTTCCTGAACCTCCTTCTCGGTCTTCCTCCCTTTCTTACACTTGTAGTACACGCTCATGAATGTGCCCACAGCTTTGTACTTCTTCCTGGCCTCCTCGTACAGCCCACCATCAAACATTCTCCAGAAGCTCCTCTCATTCAGCTCCGAGACGGCATACTGTGGCTGGAAACCGTGGTTCTCTATCAACCACTGCTCCATCCGGCGAACAGCCTCAGCTCCATCGAACACCTCGCCTCTCAGGACAGGTCCCGGTGCGTAGTACACTCCGACATCCGTGTACATCTGAGCATACGAGGTGTCCCCTTGTCTGCGATGGGTCTCGAATCCTGGCTCGGGGTAGATCATGGTCTTAATAGGGAGCCTGAATAGCTTGTGAGGGCAGAGCCAAATAGGGTATACCTACAAATCGCCACCAGTGGAAAACAGGTTACCTTACAACATGTTAGAAACAGAAAATAAGATTTGCACCAGTTGCTACATTAACAAAGAAGAGAAGCAAATAGGTCATTGATTTCACCATGTTGATACTTTTTTTTTCCTTTTCTAAGTCGCATTGAATACTTAAACATGCAAATAGAACAAAGAGACGGACAGGGAAAGCTGTTTTACCTCCATCTCACGGTGGACCCATTCCAATGCATCACCGACCTTGTAGAGAGGAACAAGCATATCCTGGATAACGTGCATCTCATGGTAGTAGTTTCTGATTGCTTCACCTTGTGTGGCCTTGAGCAGAGAGACCTTAGGAGGCATCAGCCAGCCCAAGAGATACCTAAACCAAAACTGGTCAGCAAATGGGAGAATGAGCTTGCCTTCCCAATACAAACACCTGGTATGCCTGTGATAGTATTCCCTAGTAGGAATGTACTCCACAAACTCCCCTTTCTTCAATGCTGTCTGCGCATGTTGGTAGAACCACGGCTTGAACCACCAACCGATGCTGTTGATCTTGTTTCCCTTTTGTTTCGCCTCTTCTTTGGATGCATATCTGCCAGTCATCATCACACCTTCATGAGGGTTATAAATCATAGTCTCCACAAAATCTGGGACCTTGTCAGGATTATCCTGATCTCCATCTTTGGGTGCAAAGGAGTCGATATAACCCTGTGCCAGATCTTTGAGGCTACCCTTGACAGGATGGTAGGTGAGCTTCATGTACTCTTTGATATGGATAAGCTTGATCTCAGCGGATACAAGAAGCCCAAGAGTTCCCTGAGACCAAGGGATGGCATAGAACAAATCGGAGTACTCATTGTCCTTAGTGGCTCTGACGACCTGACCATCAGCTAGAACAATCTCATAAGCCACGACAGTGTCGGAGAACAGGCCATAGATGTGAGAGCTTCCTTCTATCCCATAACCATTGATGAGTCCACCCACAGTGAGATCGTCCAGCTCAGCAACCACTGCAAGGGAAAGATTCATTGGCACTGTGGCCCTGCTTATCTGTCCCATGTTGACAAGTGGCTCAACCTTAGCAATCATTCTCTCCTTGTCAATTTCAAGGATGTTTCGGAATGCAGATAGGTCGACTTCAAAGTGTCTCGCTCTTTTGTAGTCAACATTCCGCATGCCAACTGCAATCCAGGGTTTACGAGCAGTACAGACGAGACCATCCTTTGATGGGTTTCTTTCCTTAAGTCGCTTAACGACTTTCTTGACATTTTCATCATGTTCCTTTTGACGCTTCTTGTAGGACTTCATCTCAGACTTGACATCGCCAAGATAAGTGAGGAAGTAGAGGGTGAAAGAGATTGGGAGGACAACAAAGATGACTATAATCCATCTGAAGTTAACAAAGTAATCCACCCAAATCTTCTTCCTCTTGGGGCGCTCAGTCAAAGGAACTTCTAGATCAGACATTCTGCTTCTTCTCCAGATATATCCTTCGCACCTGCCCCAAAAAGAAAAGAGGACTACAATGAATTAAAGAACACAATGAAGGAATGGTCATCATAAGTGCTTACGGACAACTATAAGCATCTTAGAAAGATAAAGAGAAGACAGAGACAGCATGATAACCATTCTCACAAACTTCGTGATGATCAACAAAACCACCACAAAATAAAAAAGCTAACTCCTCGTCTGATGTCACACATAAGTATATTAATCCAAATAAGGATGCTGCTCTGACATAAGTATATTAATCCAAATAAGGATGCTGCTCTCAGCATATAGACAAGACCAAGTAAAATAATAAACTAAATTGAATCCATCTACAGAAGCACAACCCACCACACCACTAGCTGAAACAATAGCATTAATTTGATCATGTTCTGCTGTAAAGATAGTAACAAACCAGAAACAGAGAATTCGGGTGGCAATACATACACCAAATTACGAGTTTAGGCCACAACAGTATAGGCAAGAAAAGGGAAAAAGAAGCTACTGACGTCTAACTTCTAAGCCTTAACACTCCAAACATCCACATGCTGCATTGCCATTAACTATCCAAAATAAGTCCCAATAAACAGGGTGAAATGGTCCCCGTCCTGGCCGCTGAGAACATTGCTTTGCACCCTTACACATCTATCATTCATCACACTCAACAATCTTGAATGTCGATCTCACTTGCATGATAGAGAACATCAAAAGGAAAAAACCAGATGAATCAATGCAGCATCAAAACGAGAAGTCAAAAACAGGTACCACTGGTTGCAATAATGCAGTCAGGTAAACGACAAGAAGATAAGTTAAGCTATAATGGAGCTGGTATAGTACTGGTAAGTGGTAGCCATCAGATCTGGTGCAGATAAGGACAGGTAAATATGTACAAACTGTGAAATTTGAAGCTAATTAACACTAACGGATCACTATCAGTCCTTCATGCAAACCAAGCAACCATCCGATGGACCTAGCGGAGAAAAGCACAATGCAGATCTACAGCTTCGTTACCTAACCAAAGGAACTTAAAAGAGAAGATCACGAATCTAACTCGCAGAAAAGCCAGTCAATCGCTCGATTGTTTGGTTTCCGGGGGGAAAAAAACAATTACGCCATGGACGGGAAGATCGTAACAGTCAGTACCGAAGACTGAAAGTCGTGAGCTAGCCAAAAACGAGAGAGAAGCAAAATGCAGAAAAGAAAAACGGCTTCACGGAGATTTTTCAAGTTCCAGTCTCTTTCTCAGCATCCAAACAAACTTTTCTCGGCAATTAACAGTCACACTCTTCGAAAAAGAGAGAAACAGCATCAAATCAACAAACCGGTAGAGAACCGAGCGTTGAAAGTAAAGCGAAACGCCACAAAGAATCTCTCAATCGGAGTGCCGATTTCCCGTAACTTTCTCAGCCGCCAAACAGCGACGTAGTATAGCAAGCAAGAACCGTCGCAAAAAAAAAAAAGGAAGAGGAAGGAATAGAGACGCTCGAAATGAAGAATATTCAGGCATTTGCAGAGAGGGAGGGAGAAAGACTAACCTGAGGAGAAACGGCGGCGATGAATCGCTCAGGCGGCAGGAACCTCACAGTTGAAGCAGGCGAGTGAATGGAGAGAGTGGACAAAAAGACTTATACAGTGAGAGCCAGGAGAGCTGTTTCTGGAAGAAGAGTAAGGGCGAGATATTCGTTTCTATTTTCTTTCCCTTTTTTCGATTAATTGTTTTTTAGTGAATAATGTCACTTGGAAAAATTAATTCAGATTAGGCAGAAAAGAACAAGGGAGATGAAGATATCGAAGCCGGATCACAGAGACACAGGGGACCGCGATGCGCGCCCAATTGCACTAATAGTTCGCTGTCCGTCGCTTGTGGACCAGGGGATGACTGAATGTGGGGTGTTCAAACCGATTGGTTGGTAATCGTCTTAATCGTTAGTATTTGGATAATTAGGTTTGAATAATTGGTTTGGTTTGATTTGGTTAAATTTTTTAACTTGTTTAGTTTAGACACTCCTAACCGATTAAACTAAATTAACCAGTTAAGTAATTAGCTATATAGCTAATATATATTATGTACAAATACTCAATACTTTGCATAACCACTCAAGAGTCAAATGTAAGATAATTGTATTAGTTACATGTATTTTTATTAAGGAATAACTATAAGTATGTTTTGATTGTTATATATTATTTATTATATAAATTGCGAATTGATGTAATAATCAGAAAATTTTCTCACATAATGATAATGTGATGTTATATTGGTTATTTTGTTAACCAATGAAACAAACCGATTAAACTTTAGTTTGGTTAATTTTTGTTGATGTATTAGTTTGGACGGTTTGGTTATGATATTGTATTCCACAGTTAATAAAATTTAGCCTTATTTAGTTTGGTAATTACCATGGTAACCATTTGAACACCCCTATGTGAATGAGTGGACTCCAAGTTGGATATGAAATCAACAAACCATAACAACAAATTCATCGAACAAATATAAGATTTTTCATATTCATAATCAATCACACTTATCACAAATTCATGGTTTTTAAAAATCCAAGTTTTGATCTTAAATCATCGTATCCAAATCCATGAAGCAAACCGCCCCTCAATTTATCATGAATTTGAGAGAAGTTTATTGTTTGCTTGTGATTTATTTAGAGACTGTGTGGAGCCTACGGATATTCAGAGTTCAAAACGGTTGACCATACAGGCTTGTAAATTCAAGGATTTGGGATATAACCCCAAATCAATGATAACTATTTACTTTTATGTTCTCATTTCAAAATACAAATGTTTTATCCTCTATTCACGAAGGACAGCAAGTAGATAGGGAAACTGGAGGAAATTAAATAGTTTTTTCCCTTGTTCATGAGATTTGCTACAGTACAATGTAGTGATTATTTGTTGGAAAATTTGATGTAGCAGTTGCCTACCAATTTGGAGTGAAAAAAACTATTCTCTTATTGAGTATTAAGGGTAATTATCATTTTAGATGTGGAAAACGCCTATATTCTCCCCTTCTATAGATCCATAACAACAAAATGCATATAAAAAAATCCAAATAACAACAAATTTTCTCAAATTCATCTCAAAAGATTTGATTAAACCAAAAATTTAATCAAATCTTTCATTTCCAAATTTAACAAGCAAAAGACAAACCCTCATTTCTGGCTTCATGTGGGGAAAAGCCTATATATCATTTTAAATGTGGCACTTTGTCCTCCCCGTGGTAATTCAAAGTGTTACACTAAAAGAACCAAACACAATAGTATTGTGGCGGTGGGATACGTTAAGGTGATTACTATTTTATAGTATTCACCGTGGTTACTAAGGGCAAATTGGGTATAACAAAAAATTTATTAATGATCTTTTTTAATAAATTACATTTTAGGAAATTACATAAATATATTAAATACAATTTTCTCTCTCTCTTTCTCTAACTTCCACAATTTTTCAGTCAGATCTCTCTTCTTTCTTTTTCTCAATCTTTCCTTGATTTCGTTCATCCAAACTAATACCGCTGCAACAACAAAACAATAAATCAACACCAATCCATTAAAAAACTACTACCATTGTACAAAACATCAATACAATTCGAGAAATAAAAACACTACCATTTCACAAAACATCAATACCATTGCAGATTTAATCACTACCAATGCGACAAATCAATACCAATGTAACAAAATCAATACCAATGCGACAAAAACACTACCACTACGGAAAAAATGACTACCATTTTAAAAAAATGTATCAATCCTTAAAAGATTGTTGGAGGTCTGCACGACATCCCTAGGCGCGCACGGGACGACGAGTCCAGTCGGAGCGACGGAGATGATGGAACAAACGGTGGAGGTTGCGCCGTTAACCATGCCGCAAGAGGAACCGACGAGGGAAGAGGCGGCACAGGGCTGCCGATTTGCATTGCGGAGACGAGGGTGAGCGCGGATCCGACTGGTGGCTCGCCCGTGGGGGATCCGTTGAGCTTCTGAGGCCTTCACTGAGGAATCCGTTGAGCTTTCCTGGAGTAGGCCATTCAGCTCCATTATTATTTCCGAGAGGCCAAGCAGCAGTGGCTTTTCCGTTGTCGATTCCTTCTCGGGTCTCTCGGATTTTGTCCATACCGCCTGGTGGTCAGAGAGCTGTAGCATTAGATCCCCCACGGGAAGCGACTCAAAAAGCCGAGACAGTTGAAGAAGATTTTTTCTCCCCGTCTCTGACGCCGATCTCTCTTTTGAATGGTCAACCAGTGGCTGTCGGAGAAAGAGGCGTGGAAGGAGTCGTCTGACAAGCAGGCGGCGACAGATGAAGAAGCGGAGCTGGCGGCGAAGGAAGGTTGCGGCGTCGATCTCCTCTCTAAACTCAGGTCGCCGCCGAGGAAGAAGCTGGCAGACAGGGAGGCGAGAGAGGGCGGTGGCCCTCAGCCTCTCGCAAACCCTAAGCCATCGTCGGGGAGGGTGAGAGATTGCGGCTACAACGGGTTTAGCTGTAGAAGTAGGGTTAGGGAAAAATATATAGAATAATCAAGTGTGGTCTTTTTTTTTCTTCCAAAATTATCCTGAGGCAATCTTAACCGTTAGATTAAAAAAAGAGGAAAGAGAAGAAAATAAATGGTGGATACTAATGTAGCCACGGTGGCTACTAGAAATCCAGTTACCACCCTAACGCATTCCTTGTGGCGGTGGTTGGTTTCCTCCTTTGTTATTCGTAGAATAGAGATCAATTTGTGGCAAGTTAATTATCAATTTGATCTTGGAGATATCGTTTTATGACTTAATAGGTAATTTGGTCATAATCTCTCGTACTTGGTAAAAGTTTCATAAATTTCAGTTGGTCTATATTCGTAATAACGAGAGTGTTATCAACGCTCAAATCATCCGGTTTGAGAAAATGTGAGGAAGCAGTCTCTGCGACGCTAGAGCCTAAGTCCCATTGCATAAGATTGCATGGGGCACCGTATTCTATTGAACACTAACTAGCATGGTTAGCTCATTGTCGGTAATGACACCAACACACTTGTTATGGTTAGTAGGAGGGTGCAAATTGTTTTTTTTTTATCGTATGAAGTGTCTCCTGATCCAAAGATTTGTCTCTGTTTAGGTTATTGTTTTAGGAGGCAATGTGAAGTTTTGAGCATATAGCATATCGAGAGGATGTTGTTTATTGAGTCGTTACAACATTAGGATTAGATATTGAGAATCATAAGCAAGAAAGAGTTGTTTGAAACTCGATGTTGAGTTATTCTCATTGTGATGAGGGGGAAAGTTCTTTATACAACTTATGCCCATTTTCTGAATGAAGAATCATTCTTTTTCTATTGTGCAAATTTTGAAGTTTGTCGTGCTATGATGGATGAGGCTATACGCTGGCTTTTATGATGCGTAACAATCGTGCTTTAATTAGACCTTTTCTTCTAAATATATGGCGAAGTTGGCCATTGAGTGTTAGGTACATAGTTTCTCAATACAACACTTAATCCACTTGTAGTGCACAATGTATTTAATTGACTATCTGATAAAACAAAAACTAGGCATACTAAAATAAACACATATATAGCACAAAGTAGTTGTACGTTAGCAACCTGGAAGATAGTCTGTGAAATTATGTGGATGAATAATTTGGAAAGAGATGAAAGATGTAATAAAGAGGAGACTAATAATACACTACTTTTTGTTATGAAAAGGATGCTAAATAATATACTAGTGTGGTAGTCTCACATGGTAAGTGATAGGAGTGCCTGCACCAAACCAACCCCATGAATCATGATTGTAGTGCTTGGAAAAGTTGTTGAAAAGGTCCCTTCAATTACCTTTACCGGTTCCATCTTTCCATTATCATATTCTAACAGTAACGCAAATGGCCCAGTTGATATTATATTAAAAACATCATACGTTAGCTGCAACTATATTAAAAACGAAGCTTAAAAAAAGGTTAACTGATAAACCTTTCCATTTCCTAAAAATTTAGACAAATGGGTTAAAAACTTAATCCCCCCAAATGGCTACTAAAAACAAAGCTCAAGTTTTGGAAATGGTCAACCTGGATTTCACATCACGGATTGTCTATTAGTGCACAACATTAACGTCATTGTAGGATTTATAGTCCTACGTAGTTTGCACGTAGAACTCAAACAACCATTATTTCTCAAATGCACAAGTATAACGTAAATATACTTGAAAATGTCATTATAACAATACCCTTTTTATAGAATAAAACACAACGTGATCGTAACAATTCCTCTGTGTCACTATGTGTAATCTCTATGCTTTCCGTGATTTCATTCCTTAGCATTCTTCTAGCATATTGATCATTTTTACCAAGATGTAGATTATATAAGGGTTAATACCTTATTTTAGTCCGAATTATGACCATATAATCAATTTTGGCACGTGATTTTAGAAATTAACATCATGGCTTCAACTATGCAGCATATAGACTCAATTGGCCCGACACATGGTTTGACTGTCAATTTGGACGGTCAACACCGTTAACCGTTAGTCAACACACCATGTCATTGTCTTGTAAGTCTAAAAATTATTAAAAAAATTCAAATTCAAATTATTTTCATAATTTCTATTATTTATCATTTTCAAATTAACCAAAAAGAATTAAAATTAAAATAAAATTATATTATATTTTTTGGGATATTTGAAAATGATAAATTTTATAAATTAACCAAAAATTATCGAAAATTTATAAAATTTATCATTTTCAAATTACACAAAAAATAAAAATGAAATTTTATTTATTTTTTTATAATTTATTTTTGGTTAATTTGATAATAAATAATAAAAATTAGAAAAATAATTAGAATTAGAATTTTTTAATGAATTTTAGGCTGAGGAGGCAATGACATGGCGTGTTGACTAACGGTCAATGGTGTTGGCCATCCAAATTGACGGTCAAACTCTGTGTCGGGCCAATTGAGTCTATCATACCGTTTGGTATAAATGAATTCTATAAGTATTGAGGAATTCATTTTGAAATGAAATATTTTTGTGTTTGGTATTAAAAGGAATTCATTTTCAATTCTAAAATTTGAATTCTACGGAGTTGGAACTAGTTATAGCAATTCTGAGGAATTGAGATGAAATTTCCAAATGAATTCCACAAGTATTTACTAATTATAAAAGAATGGCATGGTTATCCTCTTTTATTAACTAAATTACTTATACATATGGCATACCAAACACAAGAATTCATTTGACAATGAATTCTACACGATATTTCATTTTATTTCTAAAGATTTGAATATAACATACCAAACATAAAATTTCATTTGACAATGAATTCTATACAGTAATTCATTTTACAATGAAATGAATTCTTGATTCATTTGATACCAAACGGTCTGTATATGTTACATAGTTGAGGCCAGAATGTTAATTTCTGAAACCATGACCAAAGTTGATTATATGGTCATAGTTCAGGCCAAAATAAGTTATTAACCCATTATATAAAGGTTTGGGTGTGCCTACGGTGACATGCATGTCACGGTGACTTGCACTTTCCGGTCAACCTCACTTAGGATTGGGTCGACCTCATTTAGAATTCGGTCGACCTCATATAGGATCTGGTCGACCTCATTTAGGATTCGGTCGACCTCATAGAGGATCAGGTCAACCTAATATGTTGTTTTAGTGTAAAAACAGTTCATGGTGCCTACTTTGGATATTCATATCATACAATTGGCTAGATGGAAATTGAAAACTAATGACTTGTTTTGAAGCTGGAGTGTCCCTCTACATATTGAAGTGGAAGAGAGCTCGATAGGAAGTCCAGAATACTATTTTTGAACCTCATCAAAAGGCTATGCCAAAACTGGAAACTGCCTGAAAATGGCTTAAGTCTGGAAACGTGTTTGTGAAGCCTATTTTGGAGCTCAATTCGAGAAGCATGAATGTGAGTCGAGCCCAGGAGCCTCTACCACATTAAATTAGGTATGTTTTTATACAAATTCAAGGCATTGGATGAAAGATTGGATATCTGTAAGGCTTCAAACAAAAGGGTCGAAGTTGCTACGAAGGCTGTTTTTCTGGCAGACTTCGAGCACAAGCAAGCTGCCAGAAAAACAACCTTTGTAGCAACTTCGAGCATTTTGTTTGAAGCCTTAAAGATATTCAATCTTTCATCCAATGCCTTGCCTCTGTATAATAAAATACGTAATTTAACGTGGTAGAGGCCTCTGGACTTGACTCGCATCCATGCTTCTCAAATTGAGCTCCAAAGTAGGCTTGACAAACACATTGCCAGAGCCATTTTCAGGCAGTTTCCCAGTTTTGGCATAGCCTTTTGGTCAGGTTCAAAAATGGTCTTCTGGACTTTCTATTGAGCTCCCAAGTACTTTAATGTGTAGAGGGACACTTCAGCTTCAAAACAAGCCTTTAATCTCCAATTTCCATCCAGCCAATTGTAAGATATGAATCTCCAAAGTAGGCACCATGAAACTGTTTTTACACTGAAACAACAGATTAGGTCGACCTAATCCTATATGAAGTCGACCGAAAAGTGCATGTCACCGTAGCAAAGTCCTAAAGGTTTCCTTTACGTTTTCGAACTTACATTGCTATTCCTCATGAGTAATGACTCGAGTGTTCATTTGTAGACTTTGTATGATGTGATCTGGAGCACTTCGTAACGATTAATATCATAGCGTGCAATTGGCTTTCATGAGCCAAAGGTAAACTAACATAGATAAAAAAGACAAAAGTGTGCAGCCAATATGAAGGCGTAAAAAAACATGATATAATGTAATATATCATATTTGTAATGTGAATATATAAAAGGTTTAAGCAAACTGCAGATCTCACCAAACGGTGACAAAGTTGATTACCCAAAAAATAAAAATAAAAATTATTCAAAATTGTTAAACTACAGCAACTCAAAATTGTGCTCCAATGAGATCGCAGATAAAATCTGTGAATCTGAGATATCAACGGGAAGTTTTGATGCCTCAGGGTCAGGGCGCTGAGCTGAAACCACGTGACCGAGGAACCCACAGAGATGTCCATAGTTCATACTCCACACTCCATAGTCCATACACCAACTCTTGTAAACTACGCCCACAAACAAACCAAAAAAATAAAGGCAAAATTCATCTGTATAGTCAAAATTTTCACGTTTGTGACAATAATAGTCGCTTGCGACGAAATACCAAATATAGTCAGAATTTTGAAAATTTCATGACAAATATTACTATTTTCGTTACATATTTTAACGGCATCAGTGACACCGTTAATCAAATTAACGGAAAGCTTACCTGGCTACCAACTCACCGAACACATCATCGACAACTTAACAAACACTTGCCACATGAATGCCATGTAATATTTTAATTTAAAAATAAATAAGAATTATAATTTATTTTCTCATCCTCTCTCCCCACCATGTCGTCCTTTCTCATGTCATGTCATGTCATATTTATTTATTTGTTTTTATTTTTCAAAAATCAAAAGACCCAGCCATTTTAATATTTTAAATTTTATTATTGTTCTTTTTTTATTTTTTAATTAAATCCACGTGAGAAATACGTACGGGATTAAAATAGCCACGTCGGACAATCTGTTAGTCCAGTCAGCACGTTAACTCACACCGTCAAAGAATTAGACGGAAGTGGCTATTTTTGGTATTTCGCCAAAAGTGGCTATATTTGGCAAAACCGTCTAAGTTTTGGCTACACAGGTGTATATTGCCAAAAATAAAATAGAAAAGCAAGTTTGGAAGGCCCTTGTTTAAATTTAATTTATCAGGTGTGAAATTAATTTTGGGTAATATAAGTTCAGATAGGTCGACACTCAAGGGGTTAGTTTGATATTGGATAAAAAAATGATACCCGATTTCAATGAGATTTTTGTGCTTTTTATTGTTTGGAAAGAAAGAGAAATGTGGAAACACTAATATTCAAGATTAGTGAAATGATCAGTATTGTTTTTCTGCCCGCACAATCATCTTGACGCAAATAAACTTATTTGACAACATTTACTTTTCGAGACTAGAAGTTAAATGGTTTATCATAACTCATCATTAGTTTTTTTAATCTCAAGGGTTTGGCCTAATGATAATGTTGGAATAAGAACAACCATTACACCCTATGTACGCATTCATTTGGGTTGATTCTGGTTGTTTGGGTTCAATTCGTTTTTTCAATAAATTTTTATTAATATTTTAGATGACCCGACATGCCGATCGGACAAAATTATTAAGTTTTTGGATGAAGATTGATGAAATGATCGCTTTGTTATTCGCTCAAACATATTTTATTGGAACATGCAAAATATGGAAGTTGTGATTGTTAGAGTTGTGTTTGTTGAATACATGTATTGTGCATTATACAATGTTTGGAAGTGTCAAAGTGTAAAACAATGCATGCATTGTTTTATGTAGGTCTCACCAACAATCACAAAAAAAGATGCATTATACAATCTCAACTAAAAGTTGAGATTGTTTTGATTGTTGGTTTTAGATTTGTGTCAAATTTTTCTTTCCGTTTATATCCCTAATAGTTTTTGTCTTATTCTAAAAGTTGAGGGTAAATGTGACATTTCCCCATAAAATTAACTTTATGTAAATCAATGCATAAAGTAGATCCTCAACAACCAAACAATGTATTGTTAAAATGCATCCATTCTATAAATACATACATTTATATTATGATAATTCATTACAATGCAACGATTTAACATTCGCAACTTCCAAACGACGCGACTATGCTAATTATTAAATCTAAAATTAGTCCTAAGTGGTAGGTTCCTCCGGTTATAGGGCCGGTCTAGGGTTGGCAAGTGGCAACTGAATAATAAATAATTCAATTTTGATAACCGAACAATTTCACGGTCAGAGGAACGAAGCCCTTTTACCAATTAGGCTCGTCTTAGTTATGGAGAAGGTCCACTGGTTGATAAAGGCCCAGGCCCAGGCCCAAAATCTAGTGTCACCAAGCGTCGCCGTTCAAGACACGAGGACGAGCGATGTCTTCCCAAATCCCAACCGCGAGGTTTTCCTTTTCATTCTTCCTTCCAAGTTCTCTCAACTCCCGCAGCTGCCGCAATACTCAGTCACAGAGAAGAGCCGTCAAACGCCGAGATAGTGAAGTAAGTAACGAAACGCCGTCCAAACGAGATGGGGAAGAAGCCGAAGAGCTCAAGGAAGGGTAAGAAAGCATGGAGAGCCAACATAAGCACCGACGACATCGATGAGTACATCGAGAAATCAACCAAAGACGCTCTCACCGGCGGTTCCCTCGCCGAGGTCCCCAATGAATCCCTCTTTTTTGTGGATAAATCCAAAGGTGCCTCCTTTTTTACTTGTTCACCCGTGTAATTTGGAGATTGGTGGAGTTTTTTTGCTAGGTTCAGCTTAGAATGGAATTGAAAACGTGGTATCCGTTTGACTGATGCTATGAGACTAGTTGGTTAGGTTATAATGGCCTTTTCTGATTCTGGGTTTTCGTTGTTGATGTTGTTATCGATATCAGACCTTTCCGTGAAGAGGAAAATTGAAAAGCATAGAGAGAAAGTGCTCCACTGTGACAGTGTTCTGCAAAGGAACCCTTTTGTCAAGGCAATCCCTTCTTCAAATGATAAGAGGAAGTCTAGCATGAAGAAGAAGAAAAAGAATATGAAAGACTCTAAGGGTTCCACATCGAAAGATGATGCCACTAAGGTTTTCCCTTGCTCGAAAGCTCGATTGCACGTGTTCGTTTTATTTCTGGCATGGTGGAAGTTGATGCAAATTTAACCTTTTGTGTTCTTTTGTGTCTCAGAATGATGAGTCCGGGGTTGTTGACTTGTGGGAAAATGAAGGTACTTATATTTCCCAATATCTTGCATGTTTTTTTCTTTTAATTTTGATTTCGTCGAATGTTGGAAGTCTCAAGTGTATCTATGTACTTACTCAATTGTGCAGCTGAAGGCGATGTCAGAGCTCGGAAGGTATGTTCTCCTCCAACGTGGATTTTAGGTTCATCTGTGTAATGGTCTGGTTATTATTCATTTGTTGTGATGTATCATGTATGGTTGCAGATAGTCAAAACTTCAGTTATTCCTGCAGTGGAAGTTGACCCTCCTGGATGTTCATTCAATCCCCATTTTGAAGCCCATCAGGTAACTTGTCCAAATTGCACGTATTTTACATTTTCCTTTCAGCTTTTATTGAAGAAGTTGCTGATCAGATCCCTTATGCTTGGTTCAGGATTCATTGGCACAAGCTGTTGCTCAAGAGATGCAGAAAGTCTATCAAAGCGAGCTGGGACCTCAGCCTGTCCCTTTAACTGTTCAAGGAGATGCTATTGAGGAGGAAGAGGTGAGTTCTCTTATTTTAATTTGGTTTGCTCTATTTGCTGGTGCTCTTTGGTTTTGATTAAGAAAAATTGCCTTAAGTAGAAATTTAATCATGGTCTGCTCCATTGTCTCAGATGTACTTTCTTGAAGTTGATAATGTTGATGATGAAGCAAATGATGAGAATGAAGCTGATCCAGAAAAGAGGTATGCATATCATGTGCAGTTTACACTTTACACGCTGTATCTTGAGCAGTTTTCTAACTCCAGGAATATGATTTCCTTGTCTATAATGGAAATTCTCTTAACCAATGAAATCCTCTTTTGTATGAATCCTCCAGTTCTTCCATGAAGAAAATGGTGACAAGAGTCGAGTTCAATAGAAGAGCTAGACTGAAAGACCGGCAGAAAAAAGAAGCAGAAGCCAAAAAGAAAGCAGAAATCTCGAAAGAAATCGATAGGTGAAGTTACAAAACTGCCCAATGCCGTACTTAATGCTTTTCCTTACTTGACAGGTTGTGCAATGTTTGTTTAAACTTCCTCTTCTTGGACACAGCTTACCAGAAATCATAAAAGAAATAGCCAAAGAAGATGAAGAGAAGCAAAAGAGAAAGATGCGTCGGATAGTAGCAAAGGAGGAAAGATCAAAACAGCAACCCCCACGCCTGGGCAGGCACAAGTATGTTTTAGTGTCTCGTACTGCGATTCCTTTTGCAATAATCTTCCGTCAAGTATTTAACGAATTTTTTAAAAACCTCTCCATCTTTTTAGATTTGTGCCTGCTCCTACTCAAGTACTGTTGTCGGAAGAGATTAGTGGCTCGCTTCGCAAGTTGAAGGTACGCTCAAAACCCTAGGGTCCTCTTCCATACCTCCTATATATAGAAACCCTATCGTCGTGCTGAAAACTAGAACTTAAGTCTGATATTTTGTTTTGTGTTGAATGACATGAAAGGCGTGCTGCACTCTCGCCACAGACCGGTTTAAGAGCCTGGAGAAAAGAGGACTGATCCCTCCCTCTGCCAACAAGAGAAGAAGAAGGCAAGTTTGAATTACTAACCTTCTTTTTCGTGCCTGTGAACACTTGTTCTGGGTTAGTTTACATGATCTCCTGCCAAAGCGAACCTCCAAATATAAAATGGCTTATGAATTGCTCTTCTTGACAGGTGAGAAGCAGTCGGAGTTCTTGACGATGGAGATGCTTCGACGTGGAAGAAAGCTGTTGGCAGCATAAACGACAGAAGAATCGAGGATGGATTTTCGTTTTCAAACATTCTGCATTCTTCAAATTTTGTAATCCTAAACTATATGGAAATCAGGAGTTGCGTTGGATATGTTTCATTTCATGTAATTTCACTCTTGCGCTAATAGTAAAACACATTTAAGACTCCTTTTTCTCCTATTTTCTACCATCATTTTCATTTGATCTCTCGACAATAAAACAAATGTGGGCTTTTTTAGTGAGCCGACAGACATGTACGTATCTCGTTGTTGAGAGCCCATTACGAATGGGCCTGTCCACAACCCTTCAGCCCGGGCAGTCGCAAACGACGCGCCAGCTCGCTCGCACCAAGCAAGTTTCCACTGCGAAAGGCGAAAGCTTCGTCTGGACATTTGGCTTCGCAGGCAGCAGAGAGACAGAGATGCGGATTTTAGCAGCTCATCTCCGAACGGTAGCTACTTCCGGCGACCGGTCGCCGTCCTCGAGATTATAGTTTACAGCGTTTCACTCTTCTCTAATTCTGGTTCTTTTCTCACCGTCTTCTTGCTCGCAGTATCTGCACGGGAGCCCCGCCGGAAATGCGCAGCGATCGCGAAATTTCTGCTCCTCGTCGCCGTCGGTCAATAGAGCAGGTGCTTTCTCTTCCCCTGATCCCTAATTTATCAGCCATCGCTTCGTATTCCCCCCTTTTTTTTATCTCCTGATTAATTGGACCGAGTTGTGTAGATGAGGCGGCGGCAGCGCTGGAGGAGGAAGCTGAGAGGAAAATCGGGTGGTTGCTGAAGGTGATCTTCGCCGGGACTGCCACCGCCATCGGCTATCAGTTCTTCCCTTATATGGGTAACCCTTTTATCTTATTTCATTCTAGCTGTGTGATCCTGACAATTACAGACTAGAGTAGAGAATGAAGATGTCGACTGGTTCATTGCGGTGTTCTTGCAGGAGATAACTTGGTCCTTCAGTCGATCTCGCTCTTGCAAGTGAAGGATCCCTTCTTCAAAAGAACTGGCGCTTCTAGATTAGCCAGTTATGCTGTGGATGGTAAAGTCTTTGCCTCTCTCTGCTTAGATTTTGGGATTCCTACTCCTCTTGATTGAAAAGCTTCGGTAGCCGAAAATAATGTACTCTTTTCTCTCTGACTGGTTAGATGGGAGGAGAATGAAGGTAGTGGAGCTGGGTGGTGCTCAAGGGCTACTGAACATGTTGGAGGCAGCTGAAGATGATCGGACCCGAAAAGCTGCTCTTGAGGCTCTTGCAGCTTTGACCGAATCAGGTTCTAAGTATTTCATGCTGATATCCTTAACCTGTTAGCAATTGAAAGATTGGATTACTTCAGAGAATGTTTTTGGATTAGGCTGAGGTCACTTGGTAGTGTCAACTTTAGGGAATTGAGGATGTTGCTCGCGATTTCGGTTGCTTAATGGATACTGTGAAAACTTGCAGATAAAGCTGTTGGAGCTTTACACAAGGCAGGTGCGGTCCCGATAGTTCAGTCTACTCCAAGTTCAGTGGAGGAAGCGGCCATTGACAAGTACAAAACAAGCTTACTTAAGAGGTTCCAAGATTTGAGATACGATGGTTCGTCTTAGCCATGGTGTGCCTAGCTTGTAATGAAGCTATCTGAAAGTAGGCTTAAAGAGTTAGAGTAGGTTATACTGGTTATCTGCTATGCAAGTCAGTTTTGTTTCAGTTGCATTTATGATGTACCTCTTGGTAGACTTGCTGTGATCAAACATAGGGCTCGATGCAAACCTTCTCACGCTTATCTTTTAAGTCCCTTTTTTTCTTGGAAAAACTGATGCATTACAACTTGCTGGGTGCAAAGATGCCCTCAGCAGATGATGCAAAATCCAGTTTCGAACTTTCGGGTCCCGAGATATCTATTTTGTGGGCAAAGAGAAGCCTCAGTGAGCTAGTCTCACTGCAAGTAAATTATACTCAGGATAGAGAATTAGTAAGCAATTGAGATGGCATGTTGTTTGTCGAACTCTGCTATTATCGCGAGCAATCCAATGACTGCTGAAGAATCAATCTGCAATGAAACCTATCTGCCAGGCAAGTTCAAGACGGTCAATGGCTCCTCCAATCTAAGTTCATGTCATAGGTATCCAGTAAGCAACCCTACCAATCTCGTACGACCCTTTTGTGTGGTTGAGATGAATGCCTCATTCGAGCTCACTTTTAGTACGTAACAGTGCTGGTCTATATGCTCTGGCTTCTACACGTTCAACGCAACATCGCGGTCATGGGTTTGAAGAATCTGTTCAATGCATGGTCAGCAATATGTCCCTCTCAGCTACAGATCCTTGAACTTAACTCATTGGTGCTGGTGCAACAAGATCAAGATGCTGCAATTTGGTCCTGGATAACCAATGAGCAATCACGAACCTGAACTGCAAGACAAAATATCGTGGTGGGTGGGAAATAAACCAGTAAACGCGGCTGGATCGTTTGCTAGTACACTCGCTACAAAGCGCCATGGTATTACTTTCTACTTCTACAGAACAAGACAGCGTTAAGAATCTTTGTCCGTGCGAACCAAAGCAGGAGGTGGCGTGATTGAATAAACCGTCCATTTCCACGTTGTATCCACATTCCACTCTGTAGCTAGCAAGCGAGTGGCTGGTTGTTGTTTTTTTAAATAAAAACCGGTGCCCTGTTTTCACAACAGTAGCATAGGCAAACTCATTTGACTTAACCCACATCTGCAATGCTCTGCTCGCTGTCGCTGAGCTAAGCTGAGAGCTCCATTCTTACTTACCCGCCTCTGGTAATCACCCAGAAAAAGAGTAACTTTATACGTTTTCGAAAAGGAAAAAAGAAGGAAGAAGAAAAAGCTTGTCTACTAACCCCGCCTCGTTGATTCTCCACTATCTCCTTCCCTCTTTCTGCTTCCCTGGCTGCCAGCCTGCCAGTCAATGGTTGTCCTCTGTTTCCACGACTAGTAGGTAAGCTTCGAAAAGCTTCCCCTTTTCCTCTGCATTTCTTCGTTTCTAGGGTTCGATTTTAGTGTTTGATATTTGATTATTCTGATGAAATCTCCCCGTCTCTCTATCAACAACATCTATTGCTGCAAATTTATGGGATGCAGTTGTGTTTTCGTGCTTTGCTGTGCGAATCGCGGACTTTCGTCTCTCATTACTTTTCAAATCTTGTCCTTTGATTGATTGGTGGAATTTCTTTTTCCTTTCCTTTGGCGTATATTTGAGAGTTGAGATCTTCTGGGTTTTAATCGGATTTCGTTTGTGGTTTTCCCAAGCCTGTAGCTTTTGCTTGTAATTGTTGGTTTCTAGGGGACTTTCTTGCTTGTGAAGTCTACATAAAACTTTAGTCTTCACGTGGACAGATTCCTTGCCCTCCTTATCCATCTGAAAATTTGTCATACCCAGATGAAAAAGTTCCTTGCTTTTGGTTTCGGTTCTGGGTTTATGAAATTATGATACTAGGAGAAAGAATGGAGACCTTGCAATTGGAGTTTTCCAGGTTTTGATGCCAATCTCACACCTCCCTTCGTTTCTGTGTTTATGGTAGGTAGCTCAACTGTGGGAGGATAAATGGGTTCAAGTGGAAATGGGAATCAGAAAGATGAAACTGAAGATGGATCCAAAAACGGAGAGTCGCAAGGTCAAGTCTCTATTGAACTCTCTATTTCTAAGAGGACCTTACTGGGAAATGACGACCTTCCCAAGAAGTCGCAACAAGACAGCTTACCTAATGTATCAAACCGTGCTGCCTTCCTCAAGTTCGGCTCTGCATCTGCCAAATTCAGGCAGCTTGCTAAGGAGAAGGATGACACCTCCCGTTTGGTAGCTTCCTCCAGCAGCCGTGGCATTAGAGACCGGATTCATGAGGTTTATGCCAAGAAGATTGATTGGGCTTCTGTGTTCAAGATGAGCAAAGAATGGATCAGGGACCCGATGAATTTGGCCCTTTTCATATGGATACTAGTTGTCGCCATATCAGGTGCGATCTTGTTCCTTGTCATGACTGGAATGTTGAACCAAGCTTTGCCTAGCAAGTCTCAGAGAAATGCATGGTTTGAGGTCAATAACCAGATACTCAATGCATTGTTCACCCTCATGTGCTTGTACCAACACCCGAAACGGTTTTACCATCTAGCACTGCTTATTAGATGGAGTCCTGACGATATCACTAAGCTTAGGAAGATTTACTGCAAGCATGGGACTTATAAACCCCATGAATGGGCACATATGATGGTCGTCGTGCTTCTGCTTCATTTAAACTGCTTTGCACAGTATGCATTATGTGGTCTCAACATTGGGTACAGGAGATCTCAACGACCACCACTAGGAGTTGGATTGTGCATATCTATCGCAATAGCTGCCCCAGCAGCTGCCGGTGTATACTCGATCCTCAGTCCCTTAGGAAAGGATTATCATTCAGAGACAGATGAGGAAGCACAGGAGGGGAGTACTTCAATTAGTGGGGCTCAGTTGTTGTCCAGAAAATTAGAAAAGAGATACTCATTTGCAACAGGAGATAGTACTGAAGTGATGTTCGAGAGTAGACCACAGTGGAGTGGCGGGATACTTGATTTCTGGGACGATATTTCCCTAGCATACCTTTCGCTCTTCTGCAGCTTCTGTGTCTTTGGCTGGAACATGGAGAGGCTTGGATTTGGGAACATGTATGTTCATATAGCAACGTTTCTGCTCTTCTGCATGGCTCCCTTTTGGATCTTCAACTTAGCAGCTGTCAACATCGACAATGAGACAGTCAGACAAGCTTTGGGAGTCACTGGACTAATCCTATGTCTGTTTGGCCTGCTCTATGGTGGGTTCTGGAGGATTCAGATGAGGAAGAGGTTCAATTTACCGGCCTATACCTTTTGTTTCGGCAAACCGGGTGCCTCTGATTGCACACTGTGGCTATGTTGCTGCTGGTGCTCTCTGGCTCAAGAGGTTCGAACTGGGAACGCTTATGATGTCGTGGAGAACAAGCTACTGCAGAAACACAGCAATGGTAGTAGTGGTAAGCAGCCAGTGTCTCCGCCACGTAGCCCATGCCACAGTGCAATGCCGAATTCCTCTAGTCCTGTCAAGGAGTCTCCGGGAGCTAAGGATCACGCTATGGCCGCGCCAACTCCATCAACAATCGAAAGAGATGGCATTTCGGTGGAGAATGGTACTGTCGATTCTTGCTTACCGTCTGCATCTGCAAACAAAGAGTGAGTGTGTGATACAAAAGTATGTGTGTAAAGTTGACAATGGTTGTGTATGTTCATTTTACAAATGCAATGTATATATCTCTCTCTCTCTCTGGCATTATCTCTTGGGCTTTCTCTGCCTCATGAGTATTCTATGATTGGGAACATTTGACAAGACACTGTTTTGGCTAATCACAGACAGTTTAGTTCTATAGAGTTTTATCTACTGGAGAATATGAAGCAGTTGTTAGTTATGTAAGGTGATCATAGTTTTATTCTGCTTTTGGTTTACTTGGAGCGGAGGGGCAGAGATTGTGGAAGTAATGGGCCTGTTGTGGGGAGCTGCTGGGCCCCGTTTGGATAATTTGTGTGTTCTCGGAATAGGGATGAGATGGTTTGCTAACCCTCTGCCCTGTTAATCGCCTTTCTTTTTAATCTCTACAAATCGAGGGTGTTTTATTATCAGTGGCATTTTTGTAAGCTGGATTTATTAGCTGATGTCATGCCATGATCTCAGTTGGGTGGGTCGTGTCTCAACAGTCAAAAACAGTTCCTTTTGGGTTAATATGTATTCTTCTCTCTATCCGTCGGACAGTAGAAGCCTAACCGATTCCGGCAGTCCTTCCCATCGGTGAAGCCTCCCTCGCCAGTGGCCTTTGTCGGGGCTGGGTTCGGCTACTCTGCCCTCGACGACGTTGCCCTCCACGCCCCTGACTTCGTCGTGTTGGAAAAGAGAGTTTGTTGTTGAGGAAAATTAGAATGCAATCAGACGTGATTTGCTTCTGTTTGTTGTATTCTGTTTTATACAGGTTTACAATAGATACAGTTGAGAGAATGAAGGGTAGTGGAGAAGGTACATGGGAAGTGGAGTTGTTACAGGGAGAGAGAGGGAGCCGATTAATATGGCACAACAAATAAAAAGAATATGGTTATTCTTTTTCTTCTCTAATACGCCCCCGCAAGATGGAGGAGGTGTCAACGACGCCAATCTTGGATCGAAGAAGTAGGAACCGAGTGGCCGGCAGAGGTTTGGTCAATGTGTTGGCCAGTTGCTGTGCAGTCGGTATATATCGGACACTGAGACGACCAGACTGCACAAGTTGTCTAACAAAATGATAGTCAAGAGCCAAATGTTTCATGCGAGAGTGGAAAACCGGATTGGCACTGAAGTAAGTGGCACCGAGATTATCAGAGAGGACAGTTGGTGGCCCTGGGAGGGGTTGATGAAGTTCTTGTAAGAGATTGCGAACCCATTCCAGCTCAGCCGTCGCATGGGCAATGACACGATATTCAGCTTCTGTGCTAGAGCGGGCCACCGTCCGTTGTTTCTGAGAACGCCAGGAGATGAGAGTGGAGCCCAGGTATACAAGATAGGCGGAGGTGGATGTGCGATCATCAGCATTCCCGGCCCATTCAGAGTCAGCAAAGGCGGTGACATGCATAGGTAGAGAGGACCGCCGGATAGCCAAGCCATAGTAGATAGTACCACGAACATAGCGGAGTAGACGTTTGAGGCACTGCCAATGATGAGAGGAGGGAGAATGCATGTACTGGGAAAGCTTGTTGACGGAGAAGGCAATGTTAGGACGGGTGTAGACAAGATACTGCAGAGCATCCAAGACTTGTCTAAATCGTGTAGCATCAGTAGGACAGGTGCCATCCTGAAGCGACAAGGAGACAGAGGAGGCAAGGGGCGTGGATACAGGAGCAGCGTCAGACATATGAAAGCGGGCAAGAATGTCGGTCATATACTTGTGCTGAGAGAGAATATAGCCTGTAGCGGTTGGAATAACCTCGATCCCCAGAAAGTAGTTCACCTCACCCAGTGCTTTGAGGGAAAACTTGTTGGCAAGGGCGGACTGGAACTCCGTAAGAGCGGCATCATTATTGCCAGAGAGCAATAGATCATCAACATAGACCAGAAAGTATAGAATAATGCCTGAACGCTGATAGACGAAGAGTGATGCATCGGATTCAGTCTTGCGGAAGCCAAACTCAATGAGAAAAGAGCTGAGAGCGGTGTACCAGGCCCGAGGTGCTTGACGTAAGCCATAGATAGCACGACGAAGGCGGCAAACATGGTTGGGATGTAATGGATCAACAAATCCGGGAGGTTGGACCATGTATACCTCATCATCCAGAGGGCCCTGAAGGAAAGCGTTGTTGACATCAAACTGCTGAATAGGCCAATTCTGAGTGAGAGCAATGGTGAAAACCGTGCGTACAGTCACAGGTTTGACAACAGGACTGAATGTATCCTGAAAATCCACCCCGGGGCGTTGATGAAAACCCTTTGCAACGAGGCGGCATTTGAAGAGATTGATAGACCCATCGGAGTGATGCTTAATCCTGTACACCCATTTGTTGCCCAGAACATTGTAGTGAGGTTGGCGTGGAACAAGATCCCACGTGTGATTGCGAAGAAGAGCAGTGTGCTCACGGCGAAGAGCAGAGTCCCATTCGGTATACTGCATGGCCTCCTTGACGGAGCGAGGCTCAAGGGGTGGGGCCCTGGTGTAAAGAGAGCTGGAAATAGCCGTTTGGGCTTGTGAATACCAGACTGGGCCCTCGTGCGCATTTGATGAGGACGCTACAGAGGCGGCGAAGCAGAAGGCCGCTGAGCAGTGGGCTCGGGCGAGGCTGGAGCCAGGAACTGGGCCGGCCCAGTATGAGCAGTAGCGGCGAGGTCAGCCACTGAGGCAGGGCAGCTGGGGGCTGGTAGTGGGCCAGAGGAGGACGAGGGCGGGGGCCCAAAAGTGGAGGACGGGCCCGGCAGGGCACTGTGGGCTGGCAACGGGCCAGAGGAGGACGCCGGCGGGGGCCCAAGACCGATGGACGGGCGACTGGGCTGGGACGGCCCAGTGGCTGATGTCGTGTGTGAAGGGCCTGCGCCCGGGGAGGCCTGCAGCAGAGGAGCAGAGGGAGTGGCCACATGAAATGGAATTGTTGTAATTGTGGGCCTGGTGTCGGTGATCCAGGAGGCCACTAGAGACGAAGCTGCAGGAGGGTTAGACAAATAGCCAGGAAAAGAAGTTTCAACAAAGTGAACATGACGTGAGAGGAAGACACGATGAGAGGTAGGATCGAAACATTTGTACGCACTCCGCTGAGGGCAGTAGCCAAGGAACAAGCATGGACGAGATCGAGGATCCAGTTTGTGAGAAGAGTATGGGCGGAGCCAGGGATAGCATAGACACCCAAATATGCGAAGTTTGTGATAATTGGGCACAATGTTAAAGAGAATAGTATAAGGGATTTGGCCACGTAAAGCAGAGGAAGGCAAACGATTGATCAAGTAGACGGCAGTAGATAAAGCATAAGACCAAAATATCGTAGGTAAATGGGCATGATGCAGGAGAGTGATACCAGTTTCAACGATATGACGGTGTTTTCTTTCAGCGAGGCCATTATGCTCAGGCGTATGGGGAGGGGTAAGGATGACTGATCCCATGAGCAAGAAGCGTGGAACTTAACTTCTGGAACTCCCCTCCACCATCGGAATAAAGACGACGAATGGTGGTGGAAAAATAATTTTCTACCATCGCACGAAAGGCAAGAAACACATCAAGAACATCAGATTTTCGTTTTAAAGGATAATACCATGTATAGCGGGAAAAATGATCAATGATAACCAAGTAATAACGAAAATCATCAATGGAGGTCACCGGAGCAGGCCCCCAAACATCCATATACAATAAATCAAATGGTCTAGTGCTTGACAAAGAGGAAACACCAAAAGGAAGTTTGTGACTCTTATTTGAAAGACATGAATCGCAATGACTACTGACAGAAGAGGAAGCTACTGGCAAGGAATGTGTGCGAAGAAGACTGGAAAGAGAATGAGAGGAAGGGTGACCAAGACGCGCATGCCATGAGGTAGAGGAGGTGCGGGTGGTGACAAGAGCAAGGTGAACAGCATCCATTTCATGCGGCAGCTCATAGACATCCCCATTATTTGCTCCTTTCAGCAGAGGCGCCCCCGTGCGAAGATCCTTCACAACAAAACAATCAGCAAAAAATTCCACCGAAATGGGATTAGTACGACAAAGTTTTGCGATAGAGATAAGTTTACGCTTTATCGCAGGGGCACAAAGCACATCATTTAATTGTAAAGTAGAATTCGGGAGCTTGGATGACCCAATATGTGTGATTTTCAAACCTGTGCCATCACCGACGAGAATCTCATCAGGGCCATTGTAGTCCGAATAAAGAGATAAATTGCCAAAGATCTGGGGTCACATGATGAGAAGCCGCAGAATCGAGCAACCAAGTTGCAGAGGGTGTGGCACGAGTGATGGTATGATGTGCCTGAGACTGTCTAGCTTGATAGGCTTGGCGTTCTTGCGGAAATAACTTGAAACACTGACGTACGGAATGACCGGGGCGTTCGCAAAATTGGCATATGATAGTGGGCCGGCGCTGATTGAGGCTGGCAGGTGCGGCCTGCCCAGGAGAGGAGAACAAATGGGCTTGCGGGCTGGAGGCCCGTGGAGATTCAACATGGGCCTGTGGAGAATAGGCCCGCGAGGAGGAGGACGACGGCCCGCGCGGAGAGCCCCGTTGCTGGCGGCCGAAAGAAGGGTTTGCACCGCCGCCGCTAGAAGGTCTCTGTCCCTGGGAAAAAAAGGCAGTAGGAACAGGAGTTCGAATTTGCTCCTTAAGGTCAGATTCATACTCGACTAGGGAGTCAATCAGATCTTCCAGAACAAGACCCGGTCCCTTAGCACGAATGGCAGCAGCAAAGGCTCCGTATTCTTCACCAAGACCACGAAGGCAATAAACGATTAAATCGAGATCAGAGACAGGGGCGCCGATGAGAGCAAGCTCTGCTGCCGTGCTTTTCAGATAATTTACGAACGCCAAGATGTCCCGATTACCCTTGGAGGTTTTGGCCAGTTTCCCCTTTAGATGAATGATGCGGGACTGAGCACTGCTGGCGTAGAGCTTCTCCAGAATCAGCCAGGCAGCGCGTGATGTCGAAGCCCCGGAGACGAAGGAATAGATCCCTTCTGAGATGGAGCAGCGCTGAGCATGGAGGATCAACTTGTCTTGGCGGAACCAGAGCTGAAAGGATGGATTGGGCCTGGCCACACCATTCTCTGTTATGGTGCGATCAGGTGCGACGGTGGAGTCGTCGATGTAGCCGAAGAGATCCAGACCGAGGAGCAGCGTTTCAAGCTGGGAGCGCCAAGAGGCGAAATTAGACGGAGTCAGCTTCAATGGAAGCTGAGCAGCAGGATTAAAAGTCACAATAGCAGGGACAGAAGACGAAATGGCGCTGTCGTGCACTTCGGAGTCACCAGACATGGTTTCGGGAGAGAAGAGAAGAGAGAAAAAAAAACAGGGAGCTCGAGGAGAAGGAAAAAAACAGGGTGTTTCACTCTGGAAAGGAGACGCAAGAGGAAGAAAGAGATTGGATCGACTAGCTGATCGTTGCTAGCTCTGATACCATGTTGGAAAAGAGAGTTTGTTGTTGAGGAAAATCAGAATGCAATCAGACGTGATTTGCTTCTGTTTGTTGTATTCTGTTTTATACAGGTTTACAATAGATACAGTTGAGAGAATGAAGGGTAGTGGAGAAGGTACAGGGGAAGTGGAGTTGTTAAAGGGAGAGAGAGGGAGCCGATTAATATGGCACAACAAATAAAAAGAATATGGTTATTCTTTTTCTTCTCTAATACGTCGCTGTTGCCAGCACCGTCGACGAGCTTGCTTTCATCCGGCCTCATATTCGTTGAGTCGCCGCATCAGTTAGTCTTCTCATTTGATCAATCGTCGATCCATTCTCTCATCGACACAATTGCATGCCGCTTGCTCCTGAACCTTTTGTTTGTGTTCTCGTATATGATTTCATTGGTTGTTCAAGATCCGCCTGAGGCCGGTTGAGTGTAGGATTCTAGATCGGAAATCTGATTTTTTTTTTTTATTGGAGTAGGATGCAATTGCTTTTGGTTTCAAACGATGTTTAGTTTGCAGACTTCACTTCTTTTGGGTAGTAGTGTTTCGTGTGAGCAGTTGGTAGTAGTGAGATTAATTTTGTGATTCCTTTGTTAGCCTTCCCAGACGGGAAGTTAGTCAATCAGTTTTTGTGGTTAATAGTTTTTCGTGTTTTGGTTAGTGGTGTTGAGAACGTATTGTTTCGTGTTATGGAGATGGTGAATTTTTTGGTGGGTTGATCTTTTGTTCCTCTGATCTGTTCTTAGATCTGGAGATGGTGGTCTGATCTAAGATGCGATTGGAGGTTAGATCCGATTCGGATCTGGCTTGTCTTTTTTTATTATTTTATTTTATTTTATTTTATAGATAAGGGTGATATAAGTTACTTTTTTTGTTATTAGATACTACTGAAGGGACTCGAACCTGGGACTGGCTTGTCTTCTTCTTTCCTCTCCCTCATCTACCTCCTTGTCTTTCCTTGCAGATTTTGGTGAGTCGAAGATGCAGCCTTTGGCGTCGGACGCAGAGTGGAGAGCTTGAAGACTGTAGTACCATCCCCTCTTGTTCTTTCGTCGGCGACCTGTCGGATTATGATGTCCCCGAGTTCTTTCGACATGAGGCAGTAGTCGGCTGGTTTGGGGAGGGTTCTTGGGAGGTTCTCTTCCTCTTCCTTCCTTTCGGATTTGGTGTCGTTCCCCTGTTTCTGGTGCTTGGCGGCGGTGGCGACATTTGTTGGGCGACCAAGCAGCGGTGGCGGCCTCGGCTGCGGCGGCTAGGGTTCCAGAGGGGGGTGGATGAGTGGCTAGAGTTTGGAACTCAATTCATGTTGTGGCTCGGGTCCGGGCCCCATTGGGTACCAGTCCATTTGTGTTTGGGCTTTTGTTTTGGGTTTCAATTTTGATCACTTCATCTGCTTGTACTTTCCATATGGGCTTGGCCCGGTCATTCTTAATGAATCTCTCTTTTAAAAAAATAATTATTAGTATTTTATATAATAAATATTGAGTTTTATATTCCTAATAATTATTTCCACTTTTAAGTATGATTCTTACAACCTTTATAAGAGATTTATGTATTTTTTTAATATTAGTCGGTACTATAGGAGGCATTTGTATTAATTAGAATTTATTTCATACAAAATGCAAATGTCTAACAAAAGTTGTGAAAGCACTACGACATATCAAATATCTATTAAAATTGAAAAATCAAAACTATATCTTTTGAAAATCCCTAATACTTCTACTATAGAGAATCACTACTATTCTAAAATATATATCACAATGAGCATCACTATCAATATATTACTACAACAAACTTAAAAATCACTACTATCCTCAAAACCACTACTAATGATTCTACGGAAAACAATTACTACTAGCTTTTAGCCCGACACGTTGGTCGAAATAAGGTGAAGTATGAAATTTGAGAATGTAATGGGCTGTATAACTTATTGATGTATAGTTTTTTTGGGAAAACGTAATAAAGATAGTGAATTTTGTAGGAAAGAGGCATTGATGATGCAATGAATAAAAAATCAGCCTTATGAACCAAGTTCGAGACGTGTTACATTCTGAAACAATATTATTTCTGGTAATATGATGAAGTGGAGTAAGTTTTATAAAAACCGAATTCCAGCAAACCGAAACAAAAATTGCCTATCCCGCCGGTCTTCGACTCTTCGGGAAATGAGCATCTCACAACTTTTATCTAATTAGAATGTGCCACCTAGATTTTACTCGACCCGTTGGCCGATTATTTTCTTTATAAAACTTTCATCTTCTCGTCAAAGTTATTAATTTGAATGGAACAATCCATTCATCAACTCACGGAAAGGGTTAGGTGGCACATTCTACTTGGATGATTGATAAGACTAAAAAGGAAAAAACTAAATAAAATGTAAACTATTTTATCAATTTACACGGTTAGATCTATAAAAAAATAATAGAAAAAGAAGTTAAAAATTGATATGTTAGAAGAGATACTAATGTGGATGCATAAAAACTCTTGAAATTGAAACTGTGAAGTCTAAATAGAATTTTTTTTATTATATTACTAACTTTGAGCGCTGCCAGCAACCCGCGCCGGGTTAATTGTACCGACTATCTATCATAGTTGTCAATTACATAAATTTATTCACAATCCATGTTTGTAAATCTCACCTTCGGTTAGGGCGGAAGGACGAGTTCTCTCGTTTAGCGAGGGTTTTTTGAGGCGGCGGAAACCCTAGGTTTTCCGAGTTTTAGGTTTTGATCGGCGATCAAGTTTTCTACCAGAGGGTTACAAAGTGGAAGTTGGAGTTCCATATCCTATTCAAATAAGGTGTTTGCAGCACAAGATCGGGCTATTGTTTTGAGCCTTTTCAAAAGATAGTTCCTTATAGAAGACCAACTGTAAACCTAGCAAGCCTTACTGCTAGTTTGATTCTCGGTTTACAATAAGCGATATTCAATGGCAAACGAAAAAACAGGGAGAAAGTTGATGCTGTTGAGGTGGAGCCGCTGGAACTCCAAACCATTACTGAAAGTATCGAGAAACAAATGGATCACATCAGACGATCCTTTGGAAGTTGAGGACGGCGATGTGGATGTTGTCCGAATGGAAGTTGTACGTCAAATGGGGCTAATAGGCCGCCTAGTTGCTGAAAAACAGCCAAACGTCAAATCCATGAAGATTGCTCTTGCAAAGGCATGGAATCTCAAAAAGACCTTCCAGATTACAAATCTGGGGGATATGTTGTTCGCTTTTCAATTCATTGAGCAGGATGATAAAAACAAGGTGTGCTTTGGTGGCCCTTGGCCCTATGAAAACAACCCTCTTAACCTCTTAAGAACCATGTGGGACACTTATATGAGACTAAGGGTGAGCATATCCATTAACAACCCTCTTAAGAAGAAAATCAAGTTAAACATAGGAGGGAGATTGGTGGAGTACCTGGTGAAGTACGAAAAACTTCCTATCTTCTATTACTCGTGCGGCAGGATAGGACATCCGAAGCTGAGATGCCCCAAACCATCTGGGCTAAATCCTGATCCGTTTGGTATGGAACTGAGAGCGGGTCCGCAGGGCCCTCGAAACTGGCTGTCACATACAACCAAAAAAGAGGATGTTGAATTTTGGCAAAGTTGAGGAGGAAATTCGACATGGAGACTTGGAGAGCATAGGGTCTAACTCAGATAAGGAAATGCCTCATGCAGAAGAAGTAGCTGTGCAACAGAATACAACCCAGTTAGAGAATGATGCTGAATTGGAAAAAAATAAGCCAGCAGAAGACAATCAGAAAGAAGAGCAAAAGATACTCAAAGATGGGAAAGCACAGTTAGAAAAACAGGTGAATACCTCCCTCTCCCAAAACCCCAGCTTAGGACGTTTTGGTCTAGGAGAAGCCCTGCAAAGTTTTGTGATGGGTGCGAGTGGTGTAATACCAGGAAAACAAAATATAGGCGGGGTGTGGAGAAGGCAGGAACAAGTCAAAAACATACCCACAGAGCCAACCCAGATCACCCCGCAAAAAAGGCTTGCAAAAGAGACAGAGACACATGAACACCAAGGAGAAGGACATGCTATACAAGTTAAAAAAGCAAAAGTCCTGACTTTTGCTGAAAACTTGGATACTCTACCAACTCAAAACAAAACAACAACAAAGGATGGCGATATGGTGGACTCTGCAAAAGAGCAGAGCCGCCCAGCTCAATGAGAATTTTGAGCTACAACTGTAGGGGTCTCAGGAATACCTCTGCAGTTGAAAAGATGAAGGCGTTACTACGCTGGAAATATCCCGACATTGTTTTCCTATTGGAGACAAGACTATACAAAAACGAATGGAAGACTAAAATAAAAGAGCCGGGGTTTTCTGATGGACGTGGAGTAGCAGCAGGAGCAAATAGGGCAGGGGACTTACTTCTAATGTGGAGGGAGGAGGTTCAGGTGGCAATAAAAGACATAACTCTTCACTACATTGATGCAAAAGTGAAGATGGGGAACTGTAAACAGGATTGGAGACTCACCGTTGTCTACGGATGGTCGAAAGTGCGGAATAAATATCAGACTTGTGATCTGCTTCACCGGCTGCACCAACAAGTTCAAATACCATGGTTAGTGGTGGGGGATTTCAATCTCATAACCGACTATTTGGAAAAGAGCGGTAGTAGGGAACCATATACCAAAGAAATGGATATGTTTAGGGATTGCTTGGAGAATTGTGGTTTGGAAGACTGTGGGTATTATGGCCGGACTTTCACTTGGGAAAACAATAGAGAGGCAGAATACTATACAGAGGAGCGGTTGGATAGAGCTGTGAGCAACAAGGAGTGGATAGAATGTTATCCAGATATGAGGGTCTACCATCTAGAGAGGTGTGGATCATACCACATTCCCATCCAAATAAAATTGGTTTTGGAGGAAGAGGAAATCACATGGGGTTGGTCTTTTAGATATGAGAGGTATTGGGAAAAGCATGATGATTGCGCAAAAGTGATAAAGGATGGTTGGATGGAAAATGGCAGCATACCTATCATGGATAGAATCAAATGTTGTGAGAACAAACTTCGATCTTGGAGCAAAGAGGCGTTTGGTTCTCTTAAACAACGTTCAGTGAAAGCAGAAGACGCAATAAAAGCCCTTAATAAAAGGAAGCTCACAAATGCAGTCCTCCTACAAAAGAAAGTGCTTGAGTAGGAGCTCAGTGATATCTTATTACAAGCGGAAATGAAATGGCTTCAACGATCAAGAGCATATTGGCTTAAGTCGGGAGACATGAACACAGGGTATTTCCACCCAAAAGCTTCAGAACGAAGAAGAAGAAATACTATCCGAAGTTTAAAGGACACGTATGGGCAAGTTTACACAGGCCAACATGGTGTCACACAATGCCTAGTGAGCTACATGCATACTCTGTTTACTGCTGGAGGGAGAACAAAGACAACTAGATTTATTGAAGCAGTTCAGAGAAAGGTTACTAAAGAAATGAATGAACTTCTAATGGCACCCTTCACATAACTCGAAATATGGCAGGCTCTAAAACAAATGGGTCCAGACAAATCCCCAGGGGTAGATGGGATGTCTGCCAGGTTCTTCCAAAAACACTGGGCATTGGTGGGACCAGCTATTTCTAGAGAGCTACGAGGATATCTTGAGTTGGGGGAGTTTCCACAGAAACTAAACCATACCTCTGTGACGTTGATACCAAAAATAAAGAATCCAAATACACCACTTGACTTCAGACCCATTAGTTTGTGCACTGTGCTTTACAAAATTATGTCTAAGGTGCTAGCAAACAAATTAAAGGTGGTCCTAGACAAGGTGGTGAGTGAGCAACAAAGCGCCTTTGTGCCAGGAAGATACATTATGGATAACGTGCTGGTAGCTTTTGAATGTTTTTCATGCCATGAAGTTGAAGAAGAAAGCAAAAAAAGGGACGTTGGCTGCAAAATTAGATATTTCCAAACTCTATGACCGCATTGAGTGGTGTTTCCTTGAGAAGATGATGCGGAAATTAGGGTTTGCAGAGATATGGATCCAAATGATAATGCACCGTGTCACCAGAGTTTCCTACTCTATCCTTGCGAATGGGCATCAGACAGATATTTTTAAACCATAACAAGGATTAAGACAGGGGGACCCCCTGTCCCCCTACCTTTTTCTCCTCTGTGTGGAAGGGTTATCTGCTTTGACACAAAAGGCAGTGAGGGAAGGGAGGATTCATGGGGTTAAAGTGACTCCGAGAGCCCCAGAATCTCCCACCTACTATTTGTTGATGACAATATTTTCTTTACAAGGGCTACTACTTAAGAATGCCTGAAACTAAGAGAAATTATGAGGATCTATGAGGAAGAATCGAGCCAAATGGTCAACTTACAGAAATCCGAGCTGAGTTTCAGTCCAAACCTAAAGGAGGAAAAACGAAATGAGCTTGTTGTTGTGATGGGAATGAAACAGGTAGCTGTTCATGGGAAGTACCTCGGACTGCCCACTGTTATCGGCCGGGAAAAGAAGGCAGTGTTTGAGGTGTTGGTGGATCGCGTTAGGAAAAAGATAAAACACTGGAAGAACAAGACGCTTTCAATTGCTGCCAAGAACGTTCTCATCAAGGCAGTTTCTTAATCTCAGATTACCTATACTATATCTGTATTTATGGTCCCAGATGGGGTGCTAGCCGAGATCAGAAAAGCCATCTCAATTTTTTGGTGGGGACAACAGAAAGAGGAAAGAAGAATTTCCTGGAGGGCATGGAAAAAGCTTTGCAAGCCTAAGGAGGAAGGGGGTATGGGGGTTAGAGACCTCAAGTTTTTCAACACAGCGATACTAGGCAAACAACTATGAAATCTAATGACAAAACCAGATTCCTTAGTCGCTAGGGTTTTAAAAGCAAAATACTATCCCAACAGGGAGGTATTACAGGCGACGCTGGGACACAACCCTAGTTATACGTGGAGGAGTCTTATTTCTGCTCAACAATTGGTGAGAGAGGGGGTAAGGTGGAGGATTGGAAATGGCAAGAAGGTGAGCATATGGAGGGAACGATGGATTCCGAAAGGACAGGAGGATGATTATAGGGTGACAACACCACCTGGGGAAGATACTACAATCTCTAGGGTGGCAGACTTGATTGACAATAATGATAGAAGTTGGAGAAGCAACCTGCTTCAACTACACTTCAACCCTGTGGATAGAGCCAGGATTGCGAGTATACCACTCTCATGTAGAGGAATGGCAGATGAACAGTTGTGGGCTTATGAGAAGAATGGTTGTTATTCAGTTAAATCGGCCTACCACTTCTGGTATAATCGTTCTAACAAACATAAGGGGAGCTCGTCTCTGGAGCAAGGTGTGGATGACAGAGAGAACCATCTGGAAGAGATTGAAAGCTATGACCCGATGAACTGGAAAAGACTATGGTAATTGAAGATCCCCCAAAAGGGAAGATCATTCAATGGAGAGTTACCCATAACATTCTACCTACGGGTAAGAACATAGCGGACAGAAAGGAGAATGCAACTTCGGTGTGCCCATTCTGTGATTTAGAAGAGACACAAAGGCATATATTTCGGAAATGCCAATGGGCATCAAGGATCTGGAGACTCACTATGTTACGACCCCTTTTCGAAATGGGGGAAAACCTATCCTGTGGATCATGGCTATGCGAGATGATGGAGAAGGTGAACAATGAACTGGTGGAACAAATGGGACTGATTTTGTGGTATCTATGTAATGAATGCAACAATCAGATGTTCAACAACAAAAAGCTTGAGGAATGGGAGGTGGTTGGAAATTCCCTAAATCATTGGGATGAATTCAAATCCTACTATACCAAAGAAATGCAAGAGGAAGAGAAGCAGATCGGTAAACTTATCTGGACAAAGCCGCCGCTGGGCTGGGACAAAATCAACGTGGATGCTGCTACTTTTGCGGGAAGAGGCAGTGGCTTCATAGTGGTAGTAAGGAATGATGCTGGTCATTTCCAGGCAGCTGCAATTCGGAGGGAGAGGACTCAATGGCCGCTAGAGATCGCTGAGTTGCGTGCAATGCAATTTGGGTCGACATTGGCAGAGAGGCTTGGGCTGGCGCCGGCGATCGTCGAATCGGATTGTCAGACGACGATCCTCAAAATGATAGGGAAGGAGACGACGAAGTTGGAGGCTGGAGTGGTGGTGGGTGAAATGAAGGAGAAGGCGGTAGCAATTGGGCCAATTAGGTGGGCCTTTGCAAAAAGAGAATGTAACAGGCCGACTTATACTTTAGCCCACCTAAACTGTAACTGGGACTCTCAAGAGAAATGGGTTGGAAGGCCACCTGTTTTCCTCATCCCTGATTTAGAACATGATGCTCTAAGAACTTAAAGAAAATATCCAGATATTCCAAAAAAAAAAAAAAAAATCTCATCTTCGGTCTCCTCTCATTCTCAATATTGTTACGTGCATACATGGTGACCCACTTGGAGTTTCCTCCGTGCATGGCCTGTACTGAAATGTTTGGCGAAAAAAATATTAGAAATAATTTTCAATATAACAGGGCATTTAAAATGACAGAAAATTATTTTAATATAGAATGTGAATAAATATTCAAAAAATTAAAAGGTCAATATAAATGTTATTAGATTCTTTTATATTAAATAATATTGTTCTAAAAAATGATAATCTTGTATTTTTAGAACAGTTTTAAACAGAAGTTCTAATTTGAAACTTCTGATTTTTACGTTGTAAAAATACTTTTCGCCTCTTAAAATAGCCAAGCTGATAGAGAAGTTTGGCCCGACTTAAACTTTTGCAGAAAAAATATTTCTAAAATCCCGGCCAAACATTTACATAAATAAATCAAACTTTCTCGTATTATATGATAGTATGATACATAAGGTTTTAATTCCAAATAAATATTATTTTGGTTTCTCCATATGTACAAAATCAAGAAATGAAAAATTTTCTATTTTGCACATTCTCAAAGCCAAAAGCAAAATGCATTATTAAAAGAACATTGCAGAAACTAAAGAAAGATTTTTTTTTACTAAATCAATATACATTATCTGTTTATACCAAGGTTCTAAAAGGCGCTAGGCGTAAGGCAGGAGCTCGGCTCCTAACTTGCGCCTTGCCCGATTAGGCGTAGCCTAGGCACGCCTAGGCGTTCAGAGCATAAATGGAAAAATTCTCCAATATTTCATGTTTTCTCGAATAATTCATATAATCCAAGTGCATATAAAATTAGCAATGCCTAGTTCTTAACAGTAAACACTTAACATAACAAATAACAAGCAAATAGTGACCAATCATCTGCTAATAGGTGCTTATAGAGGCAAGAAGCTTGTGCTACGTACCGAGGAGAAGGAAGGAGCAGCAATTGACGAGTTTCGACTTTATTTCCCACTATAGCAGCGGAGCGGTGTGAAGGCGAGAAGAGTGATAGATGACTTTCTCCTGCGACGGCAGAGAGCAACAAATGGGTCGAGAGCTAGGGCGGCAGGCGGTAGCAGATGGGGCGAGAGCTAGGGCGGCAGGCGGCAGCAGATGATGTTACTTCCCGTGTTTCTGATTTTCTAGGTCAAGAGGCAAGTTTCTGATTTTCTAGAACCAAAAGAAGAGTATTGGGTTTAACCGCCTAAGCTCGCCCAGGAACGCCCAGGCACTCCTTCTCTCCACTAGGTGCAAACTAAGCGCTATTCCTACCTACTAAGCGCTACCAACGCCTTTTACAACGCCTATGGCCAAGTCAAGGCGATCCTCCACCGCCTAGCGCGTAATTGAGCCTAGGCGTGCGCCTAGGCGCGCCTTCTTGAACCCTGGTTTATACATTGGAGAGTCTAGATTCGAGCAAAAGGTTAGGGATGTAACCATCGTATCAACTTTGAGCTTTCTATTGAAATGAGTAAGCAAGGTTTGCATATTAGTATCCTCTATATGACAACACAGTATTTGCAGCCAAATTTTATTGATCAAGCAAAGACTAAAATGAAAACAGGACAATAAGAGACATAATAGATACAATTACAACCATAACACATTAGATAAGGGAAATAAGACATCTAGAGCTATGTAATGTATGATTAGCATTATTGATCATCAACACTCAAAGCCAATGGCATGCCAAAATATTTCTATCGACCTCTAGTTCTGAGATGCTCAAATGTGAACTGACACACACATGCTTAAAATCCAATAGCCTCTTCGAGACACAAAATTGACACTATGCGCTCAACAACATTCAAAACCAATGCTCCGTTAAAGAGTATTTCTATAAGACTTTTGATAATATCTACTGACATAGTACCTTTCTCAACGTTTTGAAATGTCAACTCTAAACAAAATAAGGTGTCATATAAGCATAATAAGGAATTTCGAAGTACTGCTAAACACTTCTAACTTCTGGCAAATATGAAGTTTCCCCAATCAACATTAACAACAAAGGCATCTCACGGTAAGTCTATGAAAGCAAGGGTACTAAATTATTGAGTTCACCCATAATTAATTGGTTAAATGACACCAAATTGACATTCCATGCTCATCAGTATTAAAAACCAATGTTATGTCATAGAATTAGCAGCCAAGTGTTAAATCAGAATGGGAAGAAGGTCTCAATTTTTGGAAAACTTAAACTCTCACTCTACAGCTGTCTTTCTGCAGCTAGTAATTTATAAAGAAAGAACCTTTTATTGATGATAATTGAAATAAGAGATTACAAACAAGAACCCTAGTCGAGCCAATCAAATTGGCCCTTTAAAAACTCAGTAATGGACTGACTACTTCCCAAGCTCAAATTACCCAGTTCTACACACACTAAGAGCCACTGAAGCAATCAATGGGCCCAATGCAGAAGGAAAGCTCTCTACTGTTTCACTCACTGCAAACCGCCAAGTTCTACAATGGAGAAAAAATACCTAATTTATAGACAGTCGAGGAAGATGACCGTTTGCTAGAGTCTCCAGGATCTCATGATGACTCTTTTCCAAAATCCCTTGTAGGGCGGTGCCCACTCTGTAGTGATCTCTAGGGAGGATGGAGTGTACTCGAGAGAGATGTCGAGAGAGTTTTAGAGAGGTTGAGGCAGAAGCTTTCCTCGATGAAGATGAAAAGTTGGATTGCTTTGTTTGTGTCTTGGAGACTTGGAAGAACGAAACGCCGTCATATAATGTGCCATTTTTTGCCAACAATTTCCCCCTTCGTTCAACAAGTCTGAGAATCCCGAAACAAGAAGAAACACAAACAGCAGATCACAACACTCAAATAAAAGGAAATTGCATTAACTTAAAAGATAGGGGAACAAAATAAGTGAGGACAATAACCCTAAGAAGGTTCCCACTAAACGTATGCTACTCATATTCTATAGGATAGCAAAGCAAAAGAAAACATTCCAAAACATAGGGAACTGTAAACATAATAGGGAATGATTCCCCCTAAACTTATGCTTCTCCTAATCTATAGGACAACATTACAAAATTACTTGAGCATTTGCTAAAATGAACAAGCAGAGATCATCCCCTTAGAGAAAAGGGACAGCTATGAAGCAGAGGCAGGAGCAGAGGTAGCTGAGTCTTCAGACGAGGAGTTGCCTTCGGACACAGTGAATACCAAATCACTAGTGTTGCTTGGCTCTCCAGCAGACTTGGCCTTCTTGGAAGATGAAGGCTTAGGACGGGGGCCAAGAATGGAGGCAGAAAGAAGAGGGGGAGGAGGAATATCAGCGGGGAGATTATGGATCATAAGCACATTTAGTGCGCTTACATACATTGTTGATGACACACTCCGAAACTCAGACAGGTCTACTCTCAAATTGATGAGCAGTCGAGTGATGATTGAACCAAAAGGGAGAAGGCCCTGATAGTTTTCATCTCCTGCAGGGAGCATGTGTGAAAATAGAAGGCAGGAGTAGTCAAGCTTACGCCTGGTAGTAGCGCTGGAGATTATCCAGAGGTCTATGGGGAGAACTCGATCAAGATTAAAGGATCGAGGAAAACATGAGTAAGGAAGTAATGAAAAATGCTTAAGCGAGGAGGAAACCAGCTTGTTGGAATAGGTACATCAGATCCTCCAGTTGGTTTTATTGAAAAGTTTTCATACTCAGTGTTGATCTTGAACTCTTACTTCCAAAACTTGGATGGATGAGCAATGTCAAGTCCTTGAGATGGATGAGCAATGTCAAGTCCTTGAGATGGAAATCCAAGTATCCCGTTTAGAGCTTCAACGGGAATGGTCAGAAGATGAGCGTAGACAACAGTGGTGAAGCTTCGAGTATCACACCCTAACAATGAAGGTTAGAGTAGAAGTATTTCACATGACCAGGATAGGCAGGAGGAAGGGTTGACGAAGAAGGAAATCCCAGCCTAATCCTTAGATAAGGGAAATGATGTCATATTTGAAGAGGTTGAACTCGTATGGGTCGAGTTGAGTTATGTGATGGAGCCTTCTGTTGTTAAAGTGCTGGAGGTGGCGATGACTATTTATAAACACATGCTCATGGAACATATACCCAGGAAAGGTATGAACCAGACCATCAAAACGAAAAGGTCGGGCAAGGTGATCGCTCATGATGGAAAGGTTTGTTGGCTTGTATTTTGGTGTTTGTGAGAAGTGAGGAGAAGATGAGAATGGGACAGGGTTTATATAGCATAAAGGAGCAAGATGAAAGGATGCGCGAGGCATAGTAATGATGAGTAAATAGTGGCATGCATAAAGTTTCTCTTGGAAAAAGACAAGCATGCAACGTAAAGCAGCTTTACTTCACAGTTCAAGAGAAGCAAAATGCCTAGAGAAGGAGAGCCAATAAGAGTTTTAGCTTTTCAGATTTTTAATCTGTTCAAGAGATTTTAAACCTAACTCAGTACACAACTGAAGAAGACATTCACTAGAGAGGGGTTTTGTAAATAGGTCGGCCAGTTGAAAATCAGTAGACACAAAGTGCAAACATAAATGTCCTGCTTGAACTATATCCCTTATAAAGTGATATTTTATCTATATGTGTTTTGTTCTTGAATGTTGTACTGGATTTTTTGCCATAAAAACTGAACTTGTGTTATCACAACATACAAGGATATTTTGCACTTTAAAACCATAATCATCCAGTTGAGCTTTCATCCACATAAGTTGAGCATAGCAGCTTCCAGCTGCCACGTACTTAGCTTCGGCAGTAGAGAGAGCAACTGCTCCTTGTTTTTTGCTAAACCAGGACACATGAGCCGGTCCTAAAAATTGTATAGTCCCAGTTGTACTTTTCCTATCGATAAGACTCCCCCCAAAATCTGAATCACAGTATCCAACTAACTCAAATGAGTCTGTCATTGGATACCATATTCCTACTTCAGTGGTTCCTTTAAGATACCTAAAAATTCGTTTTCCAACTTTGAAATGGCTTTCTTTAGGTTTAGATTGGAACCTTGCACATAAACCTACACTATACTGAATATATGGACGACTAGCTGTTAAATACAGAAGAGATCCAATCATTCCTTTGTATTTTTTCTCACAAAAGGGTATATGATAGAACCTGGGATTAGGGTTCTATCGGGAATTGGGGATTTAGGGATTAAGAACAGAATTAGGGATTTGAGAAGAGAAAGATAGAGAATCGACCTAGGCCTTTAGAGGGATGGAGATCTAGAATTGAGAGGATTGAGAGATTAGGGTTTAGGAGATTGTTTCTTAATTCTTATTGATTCTGAATGAATAGGCCTAGTACATATTTATAGCGAATATAGGAAAACCCTACTAATAAACCTAATTCTACTAGAATACTACTAATCATAATATGAATTACCCTATTAATAATAATAATAAATATAGAAACCCTAACTAAGTTGGTTTCCATCATCTCCTCCCCCTTCAAACCAACCTTGTCCTCAAGGTTGACCGACTCGACCCATTTCTTCATCCTATCTAATGTGTAGATCGCGCCTTGTCTCCTCCACTTCTTGCGCTTCCTTTTCTTCCAATCATGATCCACTACTCGACTTGGGCTTCTTGCGTTGCCCTTTTTGTGCTGGTTTAATTCTTCGACCTTCACTTCCAAGGGCCCATTATTTGCTTTCTTGACAATTTCGAACTTCGCCAACTCTGCTTTTGATGACATTATAATCCAGCAACTAGAGGAACCCAATGATTCGTTCTTGTTCAAGAATCCATCATTAAGTATCAACTCATCAAGGCCTGCGAACATCTTTCTTGGAGCTAGCCTATGAATTTGATCTAATGTTTCTCCAAACCCAATTGGATCATGCTCTCTTATAAGCCCACCAAATGAATTGTACTTCCAAGCCACTGAGCCCATTCTCTTCATAACACAGCCCACGTTGGGCTTAATGCCCTCATGGATCTTGCAGACTCCACCCACAAGCAATCTCATCCTCAGCCCACTTCGTCTTATTTCTCAGCCCGTAGCTTACCCCCGGTTCGGCCCGCCTTGACTGGTTCAAAGTAAGTCCCGCTAGAGCCTGCCTGCTTACCCACAGCTCGAACATTCCTTTCCACCCTTCAGACCTATCGGCCCATGGAAAGCCCACTCGCATTAGGTCATTTGGCCACTTGGCCCAACCCGACTCCGCAAGAAGCTATGTGGCGAGGATCGATGCGGCCGACTTAGGGTTCGGAGGAGGAATGCCGCCGTCGCACTCCTTCGCTTCATTTTTCGGCAATGCGCCATTATGCCGATGGAACGGCTGCCAACCTGACCCCGCCGACATCTTCAACTCCAACCCATCCTCTGGCGGCATCTTCTCTCCGAGCGCACCTTCCTCCTGCTTCTCCCTAACCTGCATCGATCCCACCTCCTAGGGAACAAGAGACAGGATCGGGTTGCGTCTTGTCCCCGACCGCGCCTCCCCGCGAGGCAAAGCCATCTCCAGTCGCTCGAGCAGAGCCATCACGCCGATCTCCTTCTTCTCTTGGAGAAATCGGCCCGACGACTTCTTCTCTGGCGATGCTTGCTTCCCCTCGTTCTCTGATGACGAGGTCGTCAGGCTGTTAGGAGGGATATTCGACCCAACTCTTCTCGTCGCTTTCCTCTCTTCTTCGCGAATCGGTGACGAATCGCCCAGCTGGCGGCACGACGACGCGCTCGCTCCTCGGGATGACGGCGAGATGACTTGACGACCCTTCCCCTGTCCGCCTTGGAACCGTCCATTGATTTCAGCTCCAACCTCCGGCTTCCACTTCTTCTTCTTCCTCCTCGGCGAGAAAAGGTTTCCGCTGTCGTCGTCATCCTTCTTCCCCCGCAGCGACGAGCTCATCACCTGTCGCTGCGTCTTTCCTAGATTTCCTCCCCAGTTTTCCAGCTCTCCAACGAGAGCAGTGGCGGTGGTGATTGGATTTGTCTCCGCCGACGAGGTCGTCATCACCCTAATGGCGGATGCTGTTGTAAGAGGTGGTGGTGGTGATTGAGTGACGGTTGCGGAATCAAGGGTCGGGCAGCCCTCTTTGTCTGCGGCAGCCAGTTGAGGAGCGTGGCCAATTGCACCAATTCCCACGGCGTCAGGAACAAACTCCACTTTAGCAGGAGCGTCTTCAACGGTGGCTGATGTTAATGAATCCTCCGACGTCGACTCTGGAGGAATGCGGCTCGCACAGCGGCGAGTCGCGCGGCGCTCGAGTTTGGCTAAAAGTTCTTCCAAGTCTGCCATCAGATTGTTGTCGTGAGCTTCTTGTTAGCTTCATATTTTATTAGACTGGCTTGGAGAGCTTGAAACGCGTGATTGAGTTTCTGATAACGATTCCCTGGTGAGAGTTGTGATGAACTCAAATCTGTAACCAGGTTCTGATACCAAATGATAGAACCTGGTATTAGGGTTCTATCGGGTATTGGGGATTTAGAGATTAAGAACAGAATTAGGGATTTGAGAAGAGAAAGATAGAGAATCGGCCTAGGCCTTTAGAGGGATTGAGATCTAGAATTTAGAGGATTGGGAGATTAGGGTTTAGGAGATTGTTTCTTAATATTCTTCTTATTGATTCGGAATGAATAGGCCTAGTACATATTTATAGTGAATATAGGAAAACCCTACTAATAAGCCTAATTCTATTGGAATACTACTAACCATAATAAGAATTACCCTATTAGTAATAATAATAATAATAATAAATATAGAAACCCTAACGTAGTTGGTTTCCATTAGTATACTAGTTTCATCCTTGTCTAGTTTAAGATTTGTTGCCATAGGGGTTAAGGAAGCATTCACAGACTCCATATTAAACTTCTTAAGCACAGATTCAATGTAATTAGTTTGGCTAATGAACATACCTGATTCAGTTTGCTTAATCTGTAATCCGAGGAAGTGAGAAAGTTCACCAATCATGCTCATCTTAAATTTTGCCTTCATAGATTCAGAGAACTCGGTGCACATAGAAGGGCTAGTTCATCCAAACACAATGTCATCAACATACACTTGTACTATTAGAGTGTTAGAGTTTTCCCTTTTGATGAATAGTGTTTTATCTACATTTCCTTGAGAAAAACCCTCACTTATCAAGAAAGCAGACAGTTTTTCAAACCAAGCTCTAGGAGCTTGCTTTAAACCATATAGTGCTTTTGACAGTTTGTAAACATGATTTGGAAACTCATGATCAATAAATCCAGGGGGTTGACTAACATAAACTTCTTCCTTAATTTCTCCATTTAAGAACACACTTTTCACGTCCATTTGAAACAGAGGTATTTTCATATAGTATGCATAAGCACAAAGAAGTCTGATAGATTCAATTCGAGCAATAGGTGCAAAGGTTTCATCAAAGTCGATTCCTTCTTTCTGTGAGTAACCTTGTGCTACCAGTATAGCCTTATTTTTAGTTATGTGTCCATCCAAGTCTGTTTTGTTTCTAAATACCCACTTAGTTCCTATAATCAGCCTATCAATTGGTCTAGGTACTAGTTCTCAGACATGCAATCTTGCAAATTGTATAAGCTCTTCTTGCATAGCACACAACCATTCATCATCATTCAAAGCCTCTTTGTAATTCTTAGGTTCTAGAAGAGAGACAAAGGCATACTGACCTGGTCGGTACTTACCTCGAGTGTGAATTTCATCATTCAGATTTCCAATAATTCGAGATGGAGGATGTCGTCTTTGTATATGTGCAAGAGTAGTTTTCTCTTCGATTGATACATAATTGTCTTCTTTTATTGCTTTTGATGAACCATGCTCCTTTTCCTGGTTAATGTTTTCATTTGAAGCAGGAAATAGGAACTCCATACTTTATGCATTTACTTTCTCAGGACAAGCAGAGTCATCAAATTTAACAAACACAGATTCTTCAACTCTCTTTGATTTCAAGTTATAGACTCTGTAAGCTTGACCTTTTGTTGAATATCAAAGAAATATAGCTTTTTCGGATTTAGCATCGAACTTATACAGATGATCTTTGGTATTTAAGATGTAACACTTACACTTACTCCCAAATGGATGAAAGTATCCAAGATTGGGTGTCTTTTGTTTCAGAATCTCATAGGGAGTCTTATTTATTGTTTTTCTAATTATCACTCGATTGATAGTGTAGACAACTGTCATAACATCTTCTCCCCAGAGAAATTTAGGTGAACCATACTATAAAAGCATAGTTCTATTTGTTTCAATTATTGTCCTATTCTTTATTTCAACAACACCATTTTGTTGCGGTGTTCTAGGTGCATAATATGTATGATTAATCCTCTTATCATCACATAAAGCACTGAATTGATCAGATATAAACTCTCCTCCATTATCACTTCGTATTGACTTAATGCCATTGTTCGACTCATTCAATATTCTTGACACAAACGTTTCTAAACATGCCAAATGCCTCATCCTTAGAGGCCAATAGACAAACCCATGTAAATCGAGAAAAATAATCTACCATCACAAGAGTATAGGACTTACCTCCAAAACTTACCACATTTGTTGGGCCGAAGAGATCCATATGAATTAATTCATAAACTTGAGTAGTAGTAATAATTTACGTTTTGATTTAAAACTATTCTTAGTTAACTTACCACAAACACAAGCATCACAGAAAATTTAGGATTCTCCTTTAAAATGGGTATACCACGGGCATATTCCAATCTGGATAGCTTGGAGAGCTTAGATAAACTCACATGCCCTAATTTTCTATGCCATAGTAGTTCAAGATCATAAGACACAGCCTGAAAGCACGTTTCATTGAAGGTCTTAAGATTGTTTAAATCACAACATACATGTTATTTCTCTTTGACCCACTGAAAAGCAATTTATTGTCGTGAATTATGAAAACTTGACATGAAGATGCTTCAAAAATGACTCTGTTTTCATAAATGCAAAGTTGACTAATAGAAAGCAGATTATGTTTTAAACCTTTAACAAACATAACTTCTTTTACGTCATGGGATTGGAGGATGTGCGTCGATTTCACAAGCCTCAATTGAGCATGCCCTACGGGCGCATACACGATGCCTCGCATAGACCAATTGGTAGACGTCACCGCATATCATGAGATGCTCAGCTTTGTAGACATGTTCTCAGGATACCACCAGATCCCCATGGTTGAGGAGGAATGTGCAAAGACGGCTTTCATGACTCCTTTCGGGAACTATTGCTACCAGTTCATGGCTTTTGGGTTGAAGAATGCGGGCACCACTTATCAGCCCATGGTCAACAATGTTTTTCGTGACCAGATAGGACGAAATATGGAAGTCTACGTGGATGACCTGATAGTGAAAAGTAGTAAGCGGGGAGATCACCTGGGCGACCTACGAGAAACGTTCGAGACTATGCAAAAACATAGGCTTCGGCTTAACCCACTCAAATGTGTGTTCGGCGCCGAGGCGGGAAAGTTCTTGGGCTTCATGATCACGAAGCGGGGAATCGAGGCCAACCCAAAACAGGTAGATGCGATTGTCAAACTGGCGCCTCCAAAAACACCTAAGGAGGTTCAGGGCCTAGCGGGCAGGCTAGCAGCGTTGGGGCTCTTCATACCAAGGTCGGCCGACAAGGTGGCCCCGTTCTTTCAAACACTTAGAAGGTAGTGTGTTTCCGTTGGAACGCCGAGTGTGATGAAGCATTTGGGGAACTGAAACGCCTGCTGGCCAGACCAAATGTAATGACGACGCCCTGGGCTAGGGGGACGTTGTACTTATACATCGTCGTATCCGAAATTTCAGTGAGTGCGGTCTTAGTCTCGCGGGTGGCGCCTACGGGAGAAGAAAACCCAGTGTACTACGTTAGCCGAACAATGTCTGTACACGAAAGGTGGTCGTGCCCATTGAGAAGGCCGCGTTGGCGGTCGTCACGGTAGCAACCAAGCTGAGACCGTATTTCCAGGTGCACTCCATCGTCGTGCTCACTAATCTCCCTCTGAAGTATACTCTGGGATCAATGGACGTGGCGGGAGCCTCGTCAAATGGGCAGTGTAGTTGAGCGAGTTTGACGACAAAGGCTCAAGTACTGGCAGATTTCGTCACGGAAGGAGTGGTGGCGGCTGAAGCGGGGACTGGAGCAAGAATCATGATCATTATCCCCATGAGGGTGATGCATGAGGTCGCACTAAAAATTTCGCTGAAAACCAACAACGCTGTTGAATATGAGGCGGTCATCTTCGGGCTCCACATGGCCTGGGAGTTGGGCGCCTAGAAGGTGCAAGTCAAGTCTGACTCGGCTCTCGTAATCAACCGGCTCAAAGGAATTTACGAGGTCAAAGAAGATGCACTTGAAGGTTATGTGTGAAGGGTAAGAGAGATGGGCGCCTGGTTCGACGAAGTCGTGTTCACGCATATTCCAAAAGAGGAGAATGCTCATGCGGACGCCTTGTCAAAACTAGCAACCGCTCTCGACTTCGCAGAGGAACGAAAAGTCATCGTCACAAGGGAGGTGCCACAAGAATATCTAATGGCCACTCAAGCCACTACAAGTGCAAGTGGTGGTTGGATGGCACCATAGAATTGTTTTTAACCCGATGCGTCATTCTCGAAGACTCAAGAGAAGCCTGGCATCTCCGTCGAAGGGTGGCTCGATGCTGCATATAGAAGGCTGACTCTACAAAAGATCCCATTCGGGCACATATTTGCGATGCTTGAACGACGAAGAAAGCAAGATCACCATAGATGAAGTGCACAACGGATCATGCGGCATGCATGCGGGAGCACGAAGTTTGGAGAAGACATTGTTGCGACAAGGGTATTACTGGCCAATGATGAGAAAGTATGCAAAGACACACGTCAACACCTGTCATCAGTGCTAGGTGCATGCAAACGACATCCACATACCACCGACACCAATGGAAGGCAACGTGGGCACCTAGCCATTTGCTCAATGAGGCATGGATCTTTTGGATCCTTTCTCAAAGGCACCCGGCCAAATGAAATACCTAATATTGGTCGTCGACTAATTCTCAAAATGGATCGAAGCTGAGCCATTGGCCACCATCACGGAGGCCCAGGTGCGCAAGTTCACCAGGAAGAACATACTCACCCGCTTTGGCCTACCCCAGTACATCGTTACAGACCACGGTAAGTAGTTTGATTTAAAAAAGTTTGTCAAATTTTGCGACGAGAATGGTGTGGTGTTGCGGTTCTCCTCAGTAGCATACCCTCAAGCTAATGGACAAGCGGAGGCGGCCAACAAAAGTATCTTGCTTGGGTTGCACACTAGGCTGACGGGCGCCAAAGGCAGATGGGTGGAGAAGTTGCCTAGTGTTTTATGGGCACACAGGATGACCTACAAGACAACCACGGGTGAAACACCATTTGCTCTAACTTATGGGGGGAGAGCCTATCATTCCAATCGAGGTCATTGTTCCAAGTTATCGGGTGGCCCATCACGACCCCACCAACAATGGCAAGGAGCGAATTGATGATTTGGACTTGGCGGACAAGAGGCGTGAAGTTGTCGTGGTACGCCTCGAGGCTATGAAGAAGCAAGTTGCAAGGTACTATGTCAAGAAGATGCGCCCACATGCCATTGTAGCACGCGCCAGGTTCTCAAGCGTGGTTTTTGACCAGACTCCCAGGAAGGAAAGTTGGCGCCAAAGTGGAAAGTTCCATATCGTGTTCGCGAGGTCGTGGGCGCTAGCACGTTCAAGCTGGAGCATCTCGATGGCAAGGCGGTGAAAAGAACATGGAATTCACAAAACTTGCGCCTCTACCAACCAAGCTTGGCGCCTCTCCTTGGTTAAAGAATGGTGTGGAGGTCCAAGATAGCAGTATTTACGTTTTCCATCTTTTTTGTGAGTCACAAGTGTGGTGTTGAGATGCGCTTGTATTATGTCCAAAGAGCCTAGATTAGTAGCGCCGTAACGTGTGAAAAGCACCCAACATATGTAGCGCCCCCGCAATGTTAAAGTGCCCGTAATTATTAAGCGCCCGTCAATGTTTTAATGTCCATTTCCAACTAGTCAGTGCGCCCTACCTCGCGCCCTTCGACTAAAATAATGTGTGGTCATACAAGCCCGATAAAGCGCCCAACCTAGTGCCCTTTCAAACTAAAAATAGATATAATCGTAAAGCGCCCTCCCTAGCTCCCTCAGAAGTGCAAAGTCAAGCAATATCAGTACAAGGCGCCTCGCATAACAGTGAGGAAATAAGACAAGTTGAAACTCGTTCGTTTTTTTTATAAAAGTACGGGTGATAGATAAGGGTACATAAACGAATCATGGAAAAATACAAGAGTGCACAAACGAGTCACTAAAAGCACAAAAATACATTAGGCCTCACTCGACGCTCGATGAGGCATCCCCCGCACTATCCGCCTTGTCCTCGACTGCGGGAGATGCGCCTGCCACTGGAGGCACATTACCCGCTGGTGGATCAGGCACCTGCTCCCCCTCACTCGTGCCAAGCATGTCCGCGATTACAAAGTTGGCCATGTCTCCCAGATCCCAATCCTTGTCCGGGCGATCACGGTCGAGCTTCTTCTTCAAGATGCTTATGCTCGTGAGGCAGGCGTTGGCAAAGAGGTTCTTCCTAGCCTCGGAGTCTTCGTAGTGCTCCAAAGACACCTTCAGGGCGATAATATCCTTCCGGGACGCCTTCATTGCCTTCTTATAATCCTTATGACCAGGAGACATAGCCGTCAGGTCATCTTGGAGTTCCCCTTCTCTTCCTTGAGAGGGTAGATATCACTAGCTTGGGCGCCCACCTCTCTTGACAGCACCTCCTTCTCGGACTCCAAGTCTTCACAGCGATACCGCTCATTGTCGAGGGTGGCCTGCAGGCGGGAAACCTCATTGGTCGCCTCCAACTAGGAGTCTTCACAATCCTTCGCTAGCTGTTCACGACGCATGTTGGCTGTGGCAAGATCATCCTTCACCACGGAAAAGGAGTTCGAAGCAGCCAAACTCTCTCATTTGGCTACCTCAAGGCGACGGGCGCCTCTCTCGACAAAAAGGATCACCTACATTGGAAATTTCAAGTCAGCACATACCAAGGAAAACTTGGAAAACTCGCGACAAGACAAAGCAATTACCTTGTGGCCCACTTGGGCGAGCTCTACAAAGAGGTGCTCCTCATCGATCTCCGAGGGCACCTGCAGCATCTTTGCCGCAGAAATCGCCAAGCCCATCATGCATCCTCGATCAACGGTGGCGCGAGGAGAGCAACGCAGGGCGATTCGCCCAAGTTTGGTTCGTAGGGGGAGTAGAATTGGAGGGTGCCCAACGAGGTGCCTATCCTCGTCCAAACCCACCTGGGCACCCACCCTGGCTGGCAGCGGCAGCTTTGCTCTTCTCTGCCTCAGTGGGGGGAGCCTTTTTGCCACCTTGAGAAAGCAGGGTGCCTGCCCTCTTTTCCCTGTGCACCAAAGGGGGCGCCTCTTCTTCCTCTTCCTCAGTAGGAGTGTAGAAAGTGATTGGGTCGTCGATCGGTTCTGTCGTGCCCGCAGCCGGGGCAGAAGAGGCCACGCTCGCGGTCTTTGCGGTGCGGGGCACCTTACTCTAGCCAGCTCAACCTGTGGCCTTCTTCGCTGATTTCTTCTTCTTTGGCGTAAAATCACCACCAGAATAATGGATGGTGATAGGCGCCCCAAGCTGTAGCCGCAAATAGCCAAAATCCCCTCCAAAATGGGGTCGATTGGGAACCGTAACCCAAAGCGAAAATACTCCTTGTAAACCCTGATCCATTTGGGACCTCACACTCTGACTCTGGCAATCGGGCGGGCGGGCGCATACCACCAATCGCGCGGTAGTTGCGGACCTGTAACAAACTCCATCACTCGCGCAGATGTCATGGTAGATTGGTGGTCTGGCCTGACTACATTAAACGGTATCTCGGAAGTGTCGTGCGACACGTAATCTGGGGGAAAAGGTTTTTCCCAAGTAGTGACCTTGTACGAACCATCCGCTTGCATGAAACCTGGAGCGGACGCCATCAATGTCCCAACAGACGGAGGAGCCCTCTCTAAAAGCAAAAAGCGAAGCAGGCGCACAACCGCAACGCGAAGTAAGCGGCTCCCATGCCTCAAAGAAACAACCAAGGATGCGAAATAAAACGATAAAATCGAAGAAGGAGGGGGCGCTTAACAGGGTTTGATGGGGCGCCTCGCTCAAGAGTAACACCCGGGCCAGCAGGTTGGTTTGGTGAGGCAGACATGGGGAGGAAGATGTGAGTGAGAAGGGATTTGTGAGCGACAGGCAAGGCGACGACTTGAGAGAAGTTAGAGAGACAGGGTGTGTTTTGAAGAGGTAGGAGACAAAATGAGGGCAAAGAGAAATGTTTATAGGAGACAGGGTGTGCCTTGGGATCCGTGCCTGTTAGCCACGTGTCACGATCTCGGCAAGGGGCCCGAGCTAACCAGACGCCTGTGTTAGGAGAATAAATTCAGTAGTCGTCAAAATTAGCACGCCACCCCGAACCGAGGCGCCTGTAAGCAGTAAAGGGGGGCATTTCTCACGACAGGGTTAAAATCAGTAGTTGTCAGAAGGGAGAGCACAACACAGGCGCCTATGTGAACAAAGGGAAAAAGTAGTAATTGACAGGTGAAGCGCGCTAACCAAGCGCCCGTGACAAGAGAATAAAAGCAACAGTTGACAAATTGAGCATGTTATCCAGGTGCCCGTGTTTGAAAAATCGTTGGTAGATAGGCGCCTCGTCTCGACAAACTTAGGCGCTAGTAGCGAGGAAAGGGGGCATTCCCCACATAGGTGGTCGGGCGTCCCACTAGGCAGAGATACGAAAGCCAAGCGGACGGAAAGGAAAAACTTGGGAGAAGACTGCAGATCACCAGACACCCAATTCAGCGATGAGACGAGGCGGTATGTGATAAGCGAAAAGCACACGATAACAGGCACCCAACGCGGCAAAGAAGAGGAGCGAGAGGTGTGGGGCGCCTGTAGTTCAGCAACGTTGAGGTGTCAGGAAAAAAGGTGTGTATGTACGGGGCGCCCACTGGATGACGACGGGTGGACTCGTGAGTAGTTAATCGAAGATTGGGGCGCCTCTGAAGTGAAGATCGAGATGATAAAGGGGAGACTCGCGAGCATAGTGAGGCCCTCAAGTTCCGGAGACTTGAGAGCCTAACTGGGAGGCAATTGTTGGGGGAATTACAAAGATAAGCCCAAGGGAAGGCCCAAGGCGGCCCAATAAGGAAGAAGAGGGTACTCCATAGGCTCGATCCCCGGATTGGTTCGTGAGGCCAAGCCTAGGGGTAATATAGGAAGCTAGCAGACAAGGTTCGGAAGATTCCAAGAGAGTACGGTCTGGACGCCTTGTACCTGTCAGAGGCCTGTCAGGTTGGTTAGGGCGCCCCGCCTGACAAAGGTACGGAGTATTAAATGCGATGCTGACGTGGAACTGAGTTGATGAAGCCTGGTTCAAGGTTGTGTGAGTATAAATAGTGCTGGTAGTAGGGATGGCAATGGGTCGGGTTGGGGCGGGTTTTGTCAAACCCAAACCCATGGGTTTATCCGCCAAAAAAACCCAGGGTAAAATCCGCTGGGTTTGAAAAACTCAAACCCAACTCAACCCGCTGGGTACCCGTGGGCAGTGGCCAGTGCATACTAAGGTGGGTCCCGGGACCCACCTTGGTTCGGAAGAAAATATGTACGCTTAATAATAAGGATTAAAAATCGTATCAAAAGTCATATCGGACAAGTCAATGGTATGAATGTTGAAAACGTGGTTTAATCGTGGTTCAATCATTTCAGGTTTATTCATTATATATCGTCAAAACTTTCTTTTGTTGAAACTCGCTAGATTCTTTTTATCATAATATAAATTAAATATATCAAGTTTTAAACCTCAACTAGATTATTATATGTATACTTTGATTTGAATATATGCTAGCTATTGTCTAAAACTATATAGAATTAGGAGTTATTTTTCGAATCATGGTAATTGAAAGAAGTAACTTATTGTTGTTGCTAACTAAGGCTCCACTGCAAGTATTGAAATGACATTGTCCATGAGCCACGTGGAAACACTCTTTGGTAACTAATGGGTGACAAAATCATGAATGATTATTTTATAAGGTATATTGACATCCATATCATATGAATGCAAGTTCGTCAATATATGAACACACATTATGTGGCACTGCAATGATTCAAAATTTTCTTGCAATATAAAAAAAAAATCGGACCCACCTTACATAAAATCCTGGCTACGCCACTGCCCGTGGGTTTTTGTGGTATAAATTTACAATAACAAGTTTCTTTCAAAATAAAAGTTTAACATCAATTTTCTCATACAAATTATTCATACAAAAAACACCTCTCTAGAGCATATAAGCAAACCGCAAATGATCAATACAAATTGTTCAAAATTAAAGATAAACATCTATAAACAATAAGATTAATTGAAAGCTTCTTCCTCGTCAACTAAGTTTCTTCACTCTCCATTTCATAATATCAACTTCGTTCTAAACAATTAGAAAGAACAAATTATACATGTCTCCACAAACATAAAGAATATTAGTTATTTAAGGAAGATATATTATTTAGAATAATAAATATACCGGGAAAGTAATTATATGTGTGTGGGCGGGTACCCATGGGGAGGGTTTACCTAAACCCAAACCCAACCCGACCCGATGAATAGTGTAGCAGGTTAAAACCCAAACCCGGCCCAAAACCCGTCAACACGGGTTTTATCCGCATTGACCGGGTTGGGTCGGGTATCCCCGTGGGTTCGGATTTTGTTGTCAACCCTAGTTGGTAGGTAGCATTTACTCAGATTGGATTCTCTCACTAAACACTAGAGTTTGAGACTTCTCTCTCTAAAACTAAACTGACTTGATCATCGGAGTGCGCGTGTGCAGGTCAGGCGCCCAGAACTCATCGCATGAGAAAAAAACAGGTGGAAAATTGGGCTCCAAAGTATCTTGGCTCAAACAAATTAACTCAAAATGTCTTTCGGTAGTGGATGCATATTGTACAGGCAACCAACAATGGCTTTCGGTTTCAATTGGCACATATTATTTGCATCTATATTTGCTTCTAAAGAGAATTAGAGACAGAGGCGTCCGATGCAAATAATTTATTTGATTCAAAAAATATACAGAAACAAATAACTGG